TGAGACTGAAACGTGGTTAGCGATCAGTATGTTTTCTGAATGTTAAATAGATTGCTGCTGCTGCTGCTAAGTCACTTCAGTCGTGTCCAACTCTGTGCGACCCCATAGACAGCAGCCCACCAGGCTCCTCCGTCCCTGGGATTCTCCAGGCAAGAATACTGGAGTGGGTTGCCATTTCCTTCTCCAATGCATGCATGCATGCTAAGTCGCTTCAGTCGTGTCCAACCCATGCGACCCTATGGACAGCAGCCCACCAGGCTCCTCTGTCCACAGGTTTCTCTAGGCAAGAATACTGGAGTGGGTGGCCATTTCCTCCTCTGTTAAATAGATTGACAAGATGTCAACCCCTTCCCTACCATCCTTATTTATTGACAAGGGAACAGTCCTTAAAATGCTAATAAGACTATAAAAGGAAAAATGTAGGGCTTAAATCCTTGCGGAAATCTTCAGGGCTGCCAAAACCTCACCATCCAACGCAGGCTGCTGGAAAAGTTTTCAATAGATGGGCAAAGTTGGCCAACTGGTGAATCATTCAGCCGACTGTTCATTGACCTTTGGCAAATCGGCTTGGTGAGGATTGATTTTTTTTTTTCCTGAGAATGACCTAGAATGGCAGCAGATGCCTTTCTACCTGAAAGATTCCTATCCTCCTCGCTCTGGCAGATTCTGCAGGTGGGGTCTAGGGTGGGGACTTTTGCACCTGGACTTAACTCGGGTGTCCCTGCAATCCCCAGCCTGAAGAGGACCTTACCCACGTGGAGGTGCTGGAGGCCCTGGAAGCCGAGTTCCCCGGGGCCATGGAGAGTGGGCGCGTGAGCAGCATCCGCTTTGAGAACATGAACGTCATCTGTGGGACTGCTGGGCGCCGGGACCGGTGAGTCCTTGGCAGGGCTGAAGGGCTTGGAGTCGTAGGCCAGCAGTGAACACGATGAGGGGGCGGAGCCGAGAGTGAGGGCGGAGAAAGGCGAGGCGGGGACTTCTGGTGGGCGTGGCCGGGAGCTAACGGGCTGTGCGGGCCGATTGGAAGCGCGGCGAGGGGCGGGGCGGGGAAGGGACATACAGTGAGGGGGCGGGGCCGGGAGTGAGGGCGGAGAGGGGCGGAGACCTTGGGTGGGCGAGCCCAGGAGGAGGTACAGGCCAACAGGAAGCGCAGCGAGGGGCGGGGCGGGGACAGACAGTGAGGGGGCGGGTCCGGAAGTGAGGGCGGAGAGATCTTGGGTGGGCGTGGTCGGGAGGCACGGCGGGGAGGGGACAGACAGTGAGGGGGCGGGGCCTGGAGCGCCCAGAGAAGGTTGTGGTAGATAGGACCTCTACCCGGCTCAAAGGCGGCGCTTGCGGTAAAGAACCTGACTGCCAATGAAGGAGACGTAAGAGACACGGGTTCCATCCCTGGGTGGGGAAGGTCCCTTGAAGGAGGGCAGGGCAACGCACTCCAGTATTCTTGCCTGGATAATCCCATGGACAGAGGAACCTGTCAGCCTAGAGGAACCTGATGGGCTACGATCCATAAGGGAGCAGAGTCGGACACGACTGAAACGACTTTGTACGCACCCACACGGAAGCCTAGACGGGGCGAAACCGAGAGTGGGTGCGGTGGGGGAGCAGAGCCAGGTGAGATCGGAAAAGAAGGCGGGATCTGGAGAGAGGAGCCAGACTTTCAGTGACCCAGGTGGTGACGGGGGTGCGCAAGACCGAGGTGTGGGGTCGGAACAGCACCTATGAGCCTGAGCACCTTGCAGGGCGGGGTCAGAGTGATCCCGTGGCTCTAGACTGTCTGGTGGCAGGCGGGACCAGGCCTGAGAGCAGCCCTGAAGGGGCGGGGCGGCCAGTGCAGTGGCGGTTTAGAAATGTGGAGCCTCGACAGAACCAGGCTGAGGGAAGACAGAGCCCCGTGAGGGTCGAAGAACAGACTGACCCCGACGAGAGTGCAGGGCTGGCGAGTTTAGGGACACAGCGACGGGTTGAGGGATGAGTCGGTAAACGAACTCAGGGATAAGGCAAGGACTGCTCCAGCAACCAGAGGCGGGGCTGGGGCCTCCAGCGATTCCCCCTCCGTCTCCGCCCCGCTCCTCTCCTCCTGGCCTTGTCCCCTCGTAGGTGGCTCATCATGGTCACGGACTTCCAGACTCGCTCGCGCCTGCTGCGCTCGGGGCTTCGACTCCGCGGGAACGTGTACCCTCTTGTGCGCCACGACGAACTGCTACTGAGCGATTACCGCCTGCACCTGCGCCGCTCCCTGGTCCGACGGCGCATGCTCGAGGCTCTGGGGGGGGAGCCGACCGAGGAAGACTGACATTTGGGGGGGGCGGGCCTCGGCTGCGCCTGCGCACTGCCCCGCTGGCTCGGGATACCCACCCGGAACCTCAGAGGAAAAGGGGAGTTGCCTCCCCAGGAAGGAGGCGGGGTCGGCTCGAGGGGGTGGATACTGTGAGTTTAATTATAAAGAATGACCTGGTACAAAAGCCATTTCTCTCTGCAAAATCTTGGTGGGGAGTCAGGGGGAGGGTGGTGATGGGAGGTAGGGACGAACCCCCATGGTATAATTCCGCCTCCCTAGTCTTCCCCCAGTCCCTGCGAATGGACGCCTGGGTCGCAGTCCCTTGAGGGTGAATTCCGAGGCCCGCGAGAGGGAAGACCCGGGTGCCGTGGATTTGAACGCGTGCGATCCCTGTCCCAGCGAGAACCAGACGTCCTCATCCGCCCCTCTCCTCTTCCTCCTCCCACCCCCCCTTGGAAGACAATTCTCGGGCTTTATTTCAGGTTTTTTTCTGGATTTTTTTTTTGTGTGTGTGTTCTAGGTTTTTTTTTTTTTTTGTATTTTCTTTTGTTATTGTTCCTCTTTTTGCTTTGTCTCTTCTCTCCGCCCCGCGCTGCCCCCCATCCAGTACCTTCCCCCTCCCCAGCCCAACCTCTCCTACCCCCCTCCCCACCCCTCACACCCTCCCCAACCCCGCGGCACCCATCCAGAATGAACAAGCCCTTGATAGACGAGCGCCGCGCAGGCCCCCTGCGGACGGGGGGCATCCGACAAGGGGGAGGGGGCGGGTAGGGGCCCAGCACGACCTCCGCCCCCCTCGCCACCCCTCCCCCCTCCCACGACCCTCCCACAAGGTTCCCCGCAGATCCCTGACGTGGTAAGGGGAGAGGGCTGCAAGCACCCTCCCCCCAAGGACGGAGCGCCCCCCCCTCGGGGGTAGGGGGCAGCAGAGGGGGAATGGGCTTGGGGGAAGGAGGGGGAGCTCCCTTCTTTGGCAGCTGAACATGGGGGGGGACCAGGGGCGATGCCCTCCCCCGCTTTGCCCACAGTAGGGGAGGGGGCTTTCCAGGGGAAGGGGGTGGCTTAGAATTTCCAAGCCCTAGGAATAGAGGGACATGGAAGCGTGCAGGAAGGAACAGCCATGCAGGAGGGAGGAGTTTCTGGGAGAGACGGAAAGTTTAGGAGAAGGGGGAGGGGAGGTGGTGTCGTCGTGCAAAATGGATGGACCGGAAGTCGGAGGAGGGAGGAGCTGAGAGAGCAAAGACTGGGGCAGGGAGAGGAGGAAGCGAGGAAGCAAAGTGGGCAAGAACTGAGAGTGCACAGAATCTTCTCTTGCCAGAAAAAGAGTGTACAGAGCTAAGAGAATAGTGCGAATGATCATAAGAGCTGATCTTTGGGGGCAGAAAAAAAAAGTGCCAGGAAAAGAAACAATAATACAGTCCCAAGAGCGTGTGGAATGAGATGAGTGTGCAAAAGGAAAGAGGCTGCAGAGTTCTCCAAGAGAGATGGAAAAAGTTACCCAAGAACAACCAGCAATTCAAGCATGAGCGGGCAAGGCAGGGCTTCGGGGTGCAAGAGCCTAGTTAAGGGCGAAACGGCGGCTTCGAGAGAGCAGAGAAGTGCTGGGGAGGATGCGTGTGCAAGAGCGGGCGTGCAAGAAGCTTCATCAAAGAGTTGACAGTGGAGATGGACAAGGATCTGGGAAACGACGGGGCGAGGGAGTGGGGAAGCCTGGCAAAGAGGAGAAGATACGGTTCCTGGGAGGCGAGGGTGCAAGCAACACTGGGGAAGGGGGAGGGGCAAGGAGGGGGCGTGGGAGTGTCACTGTGAGACGGAGAGGTGGGTAGAGTGAGAATGTGGGGTGCAGGATTAAGGGGAGAGGGTGCTTCCGGAGAACGGAGGGGCGAGTTTAGGGGAAGGCGCACGGTCTGAGATAGGGCGAGGGAAAGGGTGTCCCAAGTGTGTCTGCAGCAAGGGCCCAGAGATTCTTCAGGAGGGTGGGGGGGAGGAGGGCGCCCGTGGGAAGAGTCTGAGACCAGGGGGGTGTGGAGCGTGGGGGAGACAGACGCCGTGGTGTGCCAGGGAAGCCGAGAGTGAGCCGGAAGCAAAGGCAGGCGGAGGAAGCCAAGGCGGAGCGCGCTAGACGGCCAGAGGGCGCATTTGTGCAAAATTGTAGCCCAGGGAGGGGAGAAAGGTGAGCAGGCGTGCAAAGGAGCGTGCAAGAGCCTGGGGGGGGGGGCGGGGGGGCTGCTGTGTGTGCTGGGGAGAGGGGAGGGTGGGGAGAGCCAGGGGCCTGGAGAGGGGGGGAAGGGTGGTTAGAGGGGCGGCAGATGGTGGAATCTGAGGGCGTCCCCTTCCTCTGCGGCCTGGGGGACGACCCCCAACCGGTCAGGCTCAGGGCTGACCCTCTATGGCTCTGTCTGTCCCCCGCTCCCCAGAATCGACCCTTCCCTCCTTCTCCATCCCCCCTCTGTGATTTCCTCCAGCCCCCCTCCGCTCCCCCCACCCCTTCACACACACACACAGTCTCGTGTCAGCTGCCCCCTCCTGTGAGGTGCAAATGTCTGGCCAGGATCAGGCCACCTGGTGACCTCCGGCCTTGGGAGACAAGGGTCAGGGCGCAGTTCTAGCAGAGTCCCTGGCCCGGGGAGAGAAGGACGGTTGGGTTGGGGGGGCGGTCAGAGGTCAAGAGGCCAGCAGGCTCAAGGGTTCTGTGGACGGGCTGGTCCGTCCAGGCCAGCCATCACCTCTCCAGGAAAAACTTGAGAGCCCGGTCGATGTTCATGCGGTGTCCCACCCTGGTCACCCCCAAATCGACGTAGTCCTCCTTGGTCAAGGCGGGCAGGTGGGAGCCATCGATCTCGTGGTCCAGGAACCGGGCTCGGTGTTCGGCCAAGCCCAGCCACTCTAGCCAGTCAGCCACATCGAACTTGGTCCAGAAGCCCAGAGGTTTAGCGCCGAACGGCTTGTCCGGGGGCAGGGAAAGCAGGCGGGTCGGTGAGAGGGAGCGGGAGGCCCCTGACAAGGCCCCGCCGAGACCCCCGGACATCCCGGGGTGGGGCGCCACAAAGACGGGGGCGAAGGGGTCGGCCGAGCCTCCTGCTCCTCCGGTGGGGGAGCCGCGGATGTCAAAGAGGCCCGGGTAGAGGGGTCCGGAAGGCAGGATAGGGAGGGACGAGGGCCGGGGCGCAGGGCTGACCTTGTGCTCCGAGGCGGGCAGCAGCGAGGGGCTGGGGGCCCGGCGGAGCAAAGGTGGGCGCATCTCGAACTCCACGCCCTGGAGGTGGCGGGCGGACGTGGAGGAGGAGGAAGCGGATGGGGAGGTGGCCCCCGGGGCTGCAGCGGCTGAAGGGGACACCGCGGTTCCTGTGGGGAGTGGTGGCAGAGGTGGTTTGGACCAGTTCTGAAACAGGCTGCTCACAGGTTTGGAGAGGAGCGAGGACTGGGAGTCTTCGGAGAGTCTGGAATGTGATAAGGGGGCGGGGGTGGAAGAGAGGGGTGGGGTGGGGGGCAGGGGCGGGGTGAGAAAGAGGCAGAGGTCAAGATACAGGGAGAGAGGAAGAGAGACCAGGGCGGGGGGTAGAGAGATGGGAAAAGATGGAAGGATCGAGCGAGGGGGTAAGATGGATGTCAGGACAGAAAATGAAGGGAGAAAGTGAGAGGACAGGGAGAGGGCGACAGTCGAGAGAGATGAAAGAAAAAGAGACATTAAGTGATAATAATAATAATCGCCACCACTTACTGATGCTCACGTGTGCCAGGCATTGTTCTAAGTGCTTTTACAGATCGCATCTCAATGGAATCCCCGTGACAGCCCTGATGCAGGTTACTATTATTATCAGCAGCACAGAGAGGTTAAGTAACTTGCCTAAGGACACACAGCCAGGAAGTGGCAGAGCCCAGTTATATGGCACCAAAGTCTGAGCTCTTAACCACTACCCTATACTGCCTTCCGGGTTATGGCCAAGTCACAGCAGAGTGGAAGACAGGGAGACGGTGAGAGAGGAACAAAAAAAGAGGGGGAGCGTTCGGGGAGAGAGATGGAAGGGGGCAGGGGACAGAGAGAGAGAGAGAGATGAGGAGAGGGCAATGAAAGAGAGAAGAAACGAGGGGAGAAAAGGGTTCCCCTCATCCCTTTAGCTCCCTCCACAACAGTCCCTGCCTCAGGGCCTTTGAACGGTTCCCTCAGCTTAGCGCTCTTTTCCCTCGAGGAGCCATAGTTTGCTCCCTTTCCTCCTCCAGTCTCTGTTCAGCTTGCCTGTTATCTGAGACACCTCTCCCAACCATCCCATTGTTGTATTTTTTTCCCCTAGGATGATGGCAATGAGTTTGTTTACTGTCTGACCTCCACCTCTGCTTGTCAGGCTGTGAGCTCTATAAGGGATATGCTGTGCTTGTTTTGTCCATTGCGGGGTCCCTCCCTCTCCCCCTGAAAGGGCACCCGGTTAACAGAATAGATGGCAAGTCAGTCATTGGTGGATGGGTCAACTAAATTAAGCATCCTTTCCTCCATCATCAGTGAGATGCCTTAAGATCTCAAAGACCTCTAAGACCTTAAAAACCACCTTAGAATATCGCTGTAAGGATATCAAACCCTCAAGCAGAATTAAAGTAAGCTCTGAAGAAGGACAAGAGGGTTAAAAAACTTCCACTCGCTCTGTGTGTCTGAGTCAGGAATGTGACTCTATACTTTCCCTAAGATTAGAAGGGCTCGAACTTTGAGCTGATTCCAACTAGCTAGCTTCTTTGGAAAAGTTCCCTGCATCTTTCCGGATTCCTCCATCTATACTTGATGGCCTTTTAAGAGACCCCCTCCCCTCCTCCATCTCATGGTACAACAATTGGCCTCAAAAACTCTTTTAGGTGAGTTCTATGTCTTCCTCCTTCTACAGAGAGGTAGATTCCTTTGCCGAAGGTCACCCAGTTAGCAAGTGCGGGCTGGAACCAGGACCACCCCCCCCCCAACAAAAACAAAAACAAAAACCTAGCTCCAGAACCATGCTTGTAACCACCATGCCCTAAAGCCTCTTGTCTTGAACCAACACTGGGCTCAAAGGGACTCAAAGATTTCAGGGATTGTCAGAAATGACAACCCACCAAGGAAACGGACATCGGCAAGTTGTGCTCCAATCTCCTCTGTTCATCACTTTTTGTTCATCATGGAATGTGAGTTGTCATGGTGATGGGAGGAGATCACAGAAGCTACTGAGATAAAGGGAAATTTTGAGTGCCTGGGAAAGGATGCTTCTCTAAGGGCAAACTTCTCCAAGCCAGCCTGGTTTGTTTTCTTTCTACCGCCTAAAGCGAGGGGGTTGATGCAGGAGGTGGACTCTGGTACCCACAGCATCAGCCCCTCTGGCTTCCACTGCCAACCGCCAGCCCCGCACCCTGCTCACCTCTGCCGCTGCAGGGAGGAAGTCCGCTCCGGGATGTAGCTGGCTCCCCCGTGGTGGCTGTCCCCGCTTCCCCCGCTGCCTCCCCGGGCCCAGGGCAGAGCGCCACCAGCTGCCGAGGAGCCCCCAAACTGTTGAAGCTTGGAGCTGAGTTCACTGATGATGCTGGCTTTTACAGTGGCCAAGGCTGAGGCCTGAGGCTGGGCTAAGGGCCCCGGCAGCGGGGGCGGCGGCGGGCCCGGGCCCTCCTCCCAGGGCAGCAGCTTCCGAGGCAGGGAGGAGGCCGACGGCAAGGGCACTGGCGGACCTTCCGGCTCTACAGCTACGGGGCCGCCAGCCACGCCTGCCGTCGAGGATCCCGGGCAACCGCTGAGGGCCAGCAGCCCATCCGTTCCCGCCCCCGTCACCGAGACAGTGGGGCTGGTGGGAGTGACAGGGTCTCGGAGTCCCCCGCCGGGGCCCGGCCGCAGGCCTCCTCCGGCCCCAAGCGCCCGGCCCCGGAGCTTAGAGGGAGTCATGAGCTGCGGGGGGTACGGGGGGCCAGGAGTGCCGCTGCCCCCGAAGGCCTGGCCGTCCAAGTAGGCCACGTAGGTGTCCAGGAGCTCCGGCCCACCGGCCACGCTGGCGCCGCCACTGCCTCCGACGCCCCCGGTTCCAGCCCCTGCGCCGCCCCCGCCTTCAGCGGACAGGCTGCTCAGCGTGGAGGCGCTGCTGATGGTCTCCAGGGGGTGGTCGCTGCTGCTCCGACTGTCCACCTCCTCAATACCAGAATCCGTGCCCGGCGGAGGGTCTGGGCCAGGTTGGGGGGCTGGGGGAGCCGGGGCGGCTGGGGCGGGAGGGCCTGGCGGAGGGGGGTCCCCGGGAGCCGCGGGGGCCCCCTGGGTCAGCGTTGCCACCTCGCTGTCATAGGAAGTCAGGCTGGATGCGGTCGAGTCCAGGGTGGGAGGGGCGGCTGCCACGGCCGGGGGTGGCCCAGGGGGCAAGGGGCTGGTCGGGGTGGGTGGGTCCGGCAGCGGGTGGGGAGGCCCGGGAGTGAGGGGCGACTCCGGCTTCTCGAAGCTGTTGGAAAACTCGAGGGGCGGGGGCAGCGGTTCCACAAAGAGGAATTCGCCGTCTTCCACGTCCACCGAGGGGGCGGGCGGCGGCAGGACCAGCAGGGGGAGCCCGTTCTCTTCACTGCCCCGCGGGGAGGTCGGCGAGGGCGGCGCCGAGCGGCGCGGACTGGGCGGCGGGACCCCCGGCCCGTCCTCCGAGGGGGGCCCCCTTCCACCCGTCCCCCCGGCCCGGGGCTGACAGTTCTCCAGGAACCGCACGTGGAGGGGCAGCCGCTCGGGCTCCTCCGGGGGGGCGCCGGATCTCCAGGGCTTGCTCACCCCGGGGTGCGGGGCGGGGGGCTCGGGCCCCAGCTGCAGCAGGAGGGGCCCGACCCCGGGAGCTGTGGGAGGCAGGCGGTGCAGCAAGGAGCGTCGGGCCGCCGGAGGGCTGGCCGGAAGGGACTTCTCCTGGCTGCCCAGCCCTGCCCGGTACCCCAGCTCCCGGCGGGCCGGGTCCGGGGGCGAGGCTCCCCAGAGGCGCAGCACTGGCTCGTGGTGGGCGTGGGGCGAGTGGTGGTGTGGGGTGGGCGGCGGGGCCTCGTAGCGGGGCGATGGGGGCCTTGGAGGGGGCTGGGGGGGCCCACCGCCCTCCGAGGACTCCTTCAGCGCCCGCTCCCGGGCGGCCAGGGCCAGCCCGAGCGGGGAGGCCGGGTCCAGGGCCTTGCCGGTCAGCGGGTGGACCAGGGGTCGCGGCGGCAGGAAGCTGGTAAAGGCGCTGCTGCCCCCGTAGGCTCGGCCCCCGGCCGCGTAGCCCGCGTAGCCGCTGCCGCTGCTGGCGCCCGCCGACTCCAGCCGGAGGTAGGGCTCGGCCGAAAACATGCCTTCGTCGATGGACTTGGAGTGGCGCAGCCGGGGGCCCGGGGGCGCCCCTGGGCCCAGCGAGCTGTCGCCGCCGTCCTCGTCGCCCGCGTCGGTGGAGAGGAAGAGCGTGGACCGCCGGCGGGCTTCGTTCTGCCAGCCCCCTTCCCTCCGAGCCGCCCCCACCAGGGCCGCTCCGAACTGGCTGGTGAAATCCAGGGTGGCCGGGCCACTGGGCGAGGCGGGGGTGGGCACGGGCGAGGGGGACGGCGGCACGGGCGACACGGCCGGGGCGGGGCTGGGCGCGGAAGAGCCGCCGCCGCCGCCCGCGGCCTCGGGCTGGCTCGGGGGCTCCGCCTCGGTGCTGCTTCCCTGGCTGCTGCGGCCGCTGCTACTGGTGGACGGCGCCTTGATGATGATGGTGGGGATGGGGATGGAGTTCTTTTCCGACGGGGCGGCCGCGGCCGGCGGCGGCGGCGGCGGCGGCTGCGGGGACGCCGGAGACGTGGGCGAGGGGGCGGGCGTGAGGCCGCCGCCCTTCTGGGGCTCGCCTTCGACGACTTTGGTCTGCTTGACCAGCGGGCCCTTGCGCCCGCGGCCGGAACGGGCGGGCACGTACATGGCCGCGCTGGCCGCCCGAGGAGGCAGCTGGAAGTAGCGCAGCGCCGGGGCCTGGGAGGGGCCGCCCGCGCCGCCCCCGCTGCCGTGGTGCGACGGGGACAGGGCCCCCGGGGTCGGGCTGGGCCCGCCGCCCCGCCAGCCTCGCAGGCTGGGCTGGGGCCCCAGAGCCAGGCGGGGTGGGGGGTCGTCGGGGGAGCCGCCGGTCTCCATCTCCGGGGGGTGAGGCGGGTGGGCGTGGTGGTGGTGGGGCGGGGGGGGCGGGGCGTGGTGGTGGTGATGGTGGGGCGGGTGGTGATGGGCAGGGGGCAGGGGCCCGCTGTGATACAAGCTCTTCTCTCGGCTCCCTATCCGGGTGTCAGGGGGGGCGGGCCCATCGAAGGACGCCGGGGATGAGGCCGGGTGGGTGCCACCTGAGCTGGGGTTGAAGGGCCCACCCCGGGGAGAGGGAGTGAGGCGGCCGGAGGAGGACGGGGCTGGAGGTGTGCTGTAGGGGGGCTCTGGTGGGGACGTGGTGGGCGGCGGGGGGATGTCCTCCGAACCAGGCACAGACAGACTGCGGCTGAACTTCATGGCTGGGGGTGCTAGGTAGGGTCTATCGTCTTCTGCAGCCCCTGGGAAGACACAGAGGATCCAGGAGCAGGGCGGGGGTGGGAGGGGTGGTCTCCCCTAACCCTGTGGAGCTACAGTATTACAACAACAGCAGCCGTGATGATACTGATGGTGACACCCGGTAGATGTTAAGAAGGACGTTAGTCCAGAGCTTCCTTCCCCAGCTGTGGCAAACGCAAATCCGCTCGATACAGTAATTCAGGTTGTGCACTGCACAACAGCAAACAGCAGAGGGAGCAAGAGAGGTGGGGCGAAATTCAGATGTACTTCTTCCCCGGGCCAGGAGGGGGCGTCTTTTCTAACTCGTCCAAAGGTATAATATAGGCTAGGGGTCTCTGGAGAAGGAAATGGCAACCCCAGTGTTCTTGTCTGGAGAATCCCATGGGCAGAGGAGCCTGGCTAGCTACAGTCTATGGGGTCGCAAGAGTCGGACACTAATTAGTGACTAAAGCACCAGCACCACCACCACCAGGGGGTCTCTTGCGGTGAGCGAAACTGGCTTGAGCCAGGAAGAGATACCTTGTTTATGTGCATAGTTCTAGATTTCTTTTCTTGACAGGCAGAAAAGAAATGTAATTAGCACATTGAATCTGTGATTTCACAGACGGAACTCAGGATGAGGTTAATATTTTAAACGAGGGAGCCAATTTATAGGTAAGCAATGTCAGGTGGATGTAAGGGTAGCTGTTATTAGGAAAATGACACACATTGGTGGACTGTGGACACCGATGTTAGGGAAAAGCTAGATTCAAACAGCAAGACAACTTGGAGAAAACCAGAGGAGTGAAATCTTTTGCCTACTGATCAACTGCCAGGGCTCAGTCCTTCACTCTCTCTTCAGCTGACTTCTCTCTCTCCCTTGACTATCTCAGTCAGTGTCACCATTCATTCACCACTTCCCTGCTGAAGACTCCCATCCTTGTCTTGGACCCCATCTTTGCCCCAGAGCTCTGGGCTCATGTATCCAAATGCTGCATCCTTTTGGATGTCTCATTGGCATCTCAAGCTCAGCAGACCTTAAACTGAGCTCCTGATCTCTCCTGTGATCTTCCCCAGCTGCTCTCTCAGCAAATGGCAGCTCAGTCCCCCACCTACCTCAGGACCTTTGCACTGACTGTGCCTGCTCCGTGGAATGCCTTATCTCCAGATAGCCCCACGGCTCCCCACTCATCTCCAAGTTTCAGCTCAAACCTGCCCCCCAGCATGCCTGACCTCTCTCATTCTACTCTTTTTTCTTTTTTTCCCCCATAGCACTCACCACAATTAACATACTATATTATTTTCTTAATTCTCCTCCTTATAATCTGTTGTCTGTCTTCCCCTGCTAGAAGGTAATTTCCGCGAGGGCGGGACCCTTTAGTCTGTTTTGTTTCCTGACAAATCCCCAGTAGTCTAGCCTTGCATATGGTAGTGCTCAATAAACATCTGTAGAATGAATGAATAAATAAATGGAGTCAGGTATGAGAGAATGAACCAGAGTCTGTGGTGGGGGCTTTGACTTACTGCATCCAGGCAGGGGCAGTGACGCCCCCATTTTCTAGATGCAGAGCCCCAGGCCCAGAGAGGTGAAGCCATCTCCCCCTGATCACACAGCTGGGATGGACAAGAACCAGGATTCAAACCCAGGTTTGCCCAGCAACAAAGCCTGAGCTCTTTGCCCAACTTCATGGTCACATATGGAAGGAGAAAAGAACATCCCCAGGCACCCTTGTTATCCCCATAAACCATCACCCTCCCAGCCTCCCTTTTCCCCTCCAGCATCCCTTACGCCTACCCCTGCAGGTGACATACCAATAGATTTTTGCCGGAGCATGAGCCCGGGTCCAGGAGGCAGGTAGGAAGGACGTTCGTAACTTGGCTGGGAGCGGTGGTGGGGATCAAAGCTTGACTTTGGGTTGGCAGTCAGAGGAGGAGAGAGAAAAGAGAGCGAGGGAAGATCAGTCAGAGCATGGAAATCCATGGATTCCCCCCCACGGCCACCCTCCTTCCCTTCTCCAGCCTCTGCAGGAAGGGAAAGGGGTGTGAAGAAAGTGGAAGGGAATTCTGGGGAAGAGAAAGGTTTCTGAATCCTGACGGCAGCATCGGGGAGGAAGAAAGAGGGAAAGAAAAGGCAGATTATCAACTGAGTCTGCTCTGTTTCCAACCGACCACTAATCTGGGCACTTTTTCTCCACTTGTGTTGTCACTGCTCAGGTCCAAGTGACCACCATCACTTGCCGGGATGGCGGTAGTAGCCTCTTCCTTGGCTCCTGGCTGCCACAGCTGTCCTGACACCCTTTTCTGATCTACTTTTCACAAGAGTCAGAGGCGGGCTTCCCTGGTGGTCCAGTGGTTAAGGATCTGCCTTGTAATGCAAGGGACAGTGGTCCGATCCCTGATCTGGGAAGATACCACACGCTGTGGAGCAAATGAGCCCAAGAGCTGAAACTATGGAGCCTGTGCACGGCAACTCTTGAAGCCAGGGCACTCTAGAGTTGGTACAAGAGAGGCCACAGCAAGGAGAAGTCTGTGTATTGCAACTAGAGAAAAGCCCACGCAGCAACAAAGATCCAGCACAGCCAAATAAATAAAAATCAATCTAAAAAAAGAAAGAAAGAAAACGTGAGGGATCTTTCTAAAAGAAACTCAGATCATGCTATTGCCCTGCTTAAAATCCTACTATTGCATCTCACATCAGTTCAGAGGGGATCCAAATTTCCGAGCCTGATCTTCAAATCCCCCTGCGGTAGGCACTGCCTGTGCTCACCCAGATATGTCCTTGGCCAGGATTCTGTGTCCGTCCCCAGCTGCTGCATCACCTTCCTGCAGCACTTGGCAGCCCCTTGTTCTGAAGAATCACCCTCCCCCAAAGGAGCTGATGTGCCCAGGCAGTTAGGTGTCCCCACTTCTGGAAGCAGCAGCCCGCAGCCCACTGACATGAAAATCTAAGGCGGGATTAACTCCATCCTGTCATTCACAATCCAGAGATCTGTGAGAGTTCAGGCTGAAGGGGAAATTCAGTGGAGATCAGGCTTGCTGACCTCTGTGGCTCATCCTATCTCCCCAACGCCCTTAAATGTTCCCCCTTATCTCAGACTCTGACTCTAGGAAACCCTTATCTCAGACTCTGACTCTAGGAAACCCAAACTAAGAGACTATGTATGATCTAGCCCTTGCCTACATCTCCTGCTCTGGTCCCACCACACCCACCTTTTCTTGCTCCTCCGATGCTCCAAGGTCCATCCCTGTTTAGGACACTTACAAGTCCTGGATCTTCTCTCTGCAATGGTTTCCTCCTAATCATCACAGATTCTTTCCCATATTTATCTCTTCTGCTCAAACATCCCTCCCAGTCACAGCCTACTGCATTTCCCTGTCCTGTCTTCTTCAAGGCACTTCTCTCCATCTGAAATGATCTGGTTTACTTGTTTACTGTCTATCTCCCTGGCTAGAATGTTGGCTCCCTGAAGGGACCAGACATTTTCCCAGGCGCTACGGGTACAGGGTCAAGGGCTTATGATAATTCTAGAGGAGAAATGTTTTCATTTCTTTTCAGATAGGAAGGAGACTTGAATACAGTTCAGACTGGATAACATTCATCCCAGGTTAGAGTTCTTATAATTATTTGCTTACTTGTTTGTTGTCTGTCTTTCTCAGCATGCGGCCTACCCAATACCCATTCTACTTGATAAGAAGAGCCTGATCTTCTTTGGCACTTATTAAGAGACTGTATTTCCCAACCTCCCTTGTGACTAGGTGTGGTCATGGGACTAAGGCAGGCCCAAATGCATAAGTGGAAGTGTTGTGTGCTATTTCTGGAAAGTCTCATTAGAGGTAACCCAAGAAGCAACAATGTGCCCTCCTTTGCACTCCTGTCTTTCCACTATTCCTTCTTCCTGCTATCTGGAATGCTGGTGCAATAGCTGGAGCTCCAGCAGCCATTGTGGACTATGAGGGAACTTTGTGTCTGGGATGAGAAGGATTCTAGAACTTCATGGCCATAGAGGGTACCACACCTCCCTTGGACTTCTTACTCCTGACTTGTTCAACATGACAAAGATATAAGCATTTATCTTGTTCAGACCTCTGTTATTTGGAGATTTCTCTTACCATGGAACCCAATTCCCCAAAAATACCCCTACTCCCTTTGCCAATATAAGTTCTCTAAAGGAAGTACTTTATTTAAAAACAAACTTTGTTTGACAGGTTCCCTGCTATACTACCAGGACTGGGCAGCAGGTCTAGCACACAGTAGATGCTCAGCAAATATCTGTAGAATGAAGGACATCCTGACAAGATGTGGCAAACCACCAATGATGTAACACTAGATGGCCTCTGAAAGACTGAGTTGGGGTGGATCACAGTGACAGAGAAGTCAAAGCAGGAGGAGGCAATGGAGGGGGCGGAATAAAGGTGGAGGGGCTAGGGTGACAGAGGAAGAGTCCCCCTAACCGAAGAGGATCCAGACTCAAGGGAGAGGTGTCTGACTGGCGTACTGGAAGACCTTCTAAGTGTGGGAAACAGAGGGATCAAAGAACGGGTTAGTTCGGCACCAAGAGGGATCAGAGTGGCAGAGGAGATGCCAGATTGGCAGAGGAGGCATAATAGCGTCTGAGGAGGCTAGGAGTGACTGCCTGAGGGGCGGACCGACTCAAGGCGGAACAGGCTGACCTGTCAACAAACTGGGAGCGTCCTCTCCCGCGCAGAGAGGGCAGCCAGTCAGAGGGCGCCCGGTGCCGTGACGTCACCGGCTGCCTGGCAGATTTCTACCCAGGAGGTCGGCCAGAGGTCCCGCCCTCCTCTGTGCCACGTCCTGGGTCAGCTCTGGGTCCGGTGCCTCCACAGGAGAGCGTGCCCGGGCGCAGTGCACAGGCTAGAGGCTGAAGATGGGCTGGGAAATTCACGTTAGGGAGCGAGCCCCGGAAAGGGCTGAGGGGAAAGAGACCGGCGTGGGAGGCTGATGGAGAGACAGAGCTAGACAAAAGACAGAGATGGGGGTCCAGAGGTGCGGGGGAGAGAGGAGGGGGCTTAAAACAGCAAGGCAGGGAGAAAAAGGTGGTCCTGCGAGGTCGTGCCATGGAGAGGACCAAGGTCAGCCTAGGAAGGGAAACATGCAGTCAGAGGGCCAGACATGCCCCGGGAGGGAGAGAGGCAGAGAATGCAACCAGGAGGATACGCTAAAAAATAACCAGAGGGAGAAACTGAGTCCAGAGAGAGGCTGAAACTAGAACCCGGACCACCCAGGCCAAGATGTGGGGGACAGGGAACAGGGGACCCCTGGGAAGCGGGGAGCAGTGACCAGGTAACAGAGACAGTAGCAAAGAAAACCAAGGCCACACAGAGAGGACAGACATACGAACAGCAGAGCCCTAGGAAGAGTCGGAGCCCAAGAGGATCTTGACCTTCAGTGGATCTACCAGGAGTCTGCAGCCCCCGTGTTGGCACGGTGGATCCTCCCTAGCCCCCTTTAGGTTTAACCCAGAGGTGCATCTCAGGGACCTCTGTCCACTGTGGCGCAGGCCCCCACTAAAAGAAGCCTCAGGGTCTGCACTGGGCTTCCACACTGCCTGCTTGTCCCCCTAGTTTAGATGCAGCGAGAGTCCAGGTGGGAAAGGGGAGAGAAGCCAGAACAGATGGGAGATGGAGACAGATGAGAACAAGATCACCCACTGAGAGAGGCTGAGAGACACAGGAAGGCCATAGAGACACAGGAAGGACACGGAGGAGCTCCGGTGTCTCAGGGACTGAGAAAGATCAGGATGGCTGGTGGGAGGAGGGGGGCAGAGATGGTGACAGAGACAGCCTGCGACATGAGAGGGAGGGCTTGGGGGAGGCCCAGGGACAGACCCCAGGAGGGAGAAGGAAAGAGAAGAAAAGGGGAAATGACCACTGGCCTCCAGGACCCAGAAGAAAAGGAGGCCCCATGAAGACCTCAGGCGTTTTATTTCTAGGAGAAGGGGGTGGGCAGGCAGCTGGTTTTATTACTGGCTAGTGCCTGGGCCCTGGGGGAGGGGTTGTCTTTGGAGCCAGGATCTTGTCCATCTTGTAACAGAGGTTCATGTAAAGAGGGGCTGGCAACCTGGCACTTGGTGGGTACTCCAAGCATTTGTTGAATAAATGAAAACAGGATCGGCCCTAATCTGTTACTAGAGACTCCATATTGAGCCTGGGATGTTGTTGCGGGGTCATCTCTGGGGGTGCAGGCTGGGGTCACAGTGGGGGCTCCAGTTTGTTATGTTATGGTGGCTGGGGGTGCTCACCATCTCTTGAGAGCCTCTGCTAGAAGCTGATCTCATTCAATCCTCCTAAAAGCCAGCAAGCTTGACTTTAGCCATATTTTACAGAACAGGAAAGTGAGGCAGAGAGAAATTATAAAGCATGGGCCAAGTGACATAGTAAGTTAGAAGAAGTCAGGCTTTGAAGGCAGGCTTGCCTGGCTCTACTGCTCATGTGCTTTTTTTTTTTTTTAATTGAAGTATGGTTGATTTACAATGTTGGGTTAGTTTAATGATTCCGTGTATGTATATATACACACACACATGCATATATGTGTATGTGTCTGTTCTTTTACAGGTTCTTTTCCACTATAGGTTATTATTATTGGCCTCATGGCATGCGGGATCTTAATCTCCCTGACCAGGGATCTAACCTGCGCTTCCTGCAGTGGAAGTCTTAACAACCAGATCGTCAGGGAAGTCCCAGGCTGAGAGATTTCAGATTCTTTGAGAAACCAAGGACAGGTGTGAAGCAAGGGCCTGCTGCATGCAGGCCCCTGTGCCCAGCCTTGAGAAGTGGCCAAGGACCCTCTGCCTCTAAATCTGAAAGAAATTCTGGGAGTCTGCATACAAAATCTGCCAGCTGCATTTGGCTCTTGTAAAAGTACTAACCCTTCCAGAGTAGGTGTTAGAACCCTTGGGAGGGCTGTGGATAGATTTTGGGGGTAGGGAGGGGCTGTGCACTTGGGTAGGGAGAAAACTCCCTACATCTTGACTTTCATTAGCCTTCAACTAAAACACATTTCCTTAATTAAGGATGTCGCCCACAGACCATGCCAGTCTTAACAAAACGTGTGACTGTATCAGAAATCATAGGTATTTCTGCATTCTTCATGGCAGAGCGGCACATTTCGCTAAACAGTGTTTATGCTTCTTAGAAACTTTGAAATTAGAGTAGTCAAGACCCACCACTGGAACTTTCTGGCTACTGTGTTGAAGAAAAGGCACCAACATTACTGTATCACAAATTCTGCTTTTACAAGTGTTTTGAGGGACTTCTCTGGTGGTCCAGTGGCTGAGACTCTGAGCTCCCAATGCAGGGGGCTGGGGTTCGACCGCTGGTCAGGGAACTAAGTCCCACATGCAGCAACTAAGACCTGGCACAATCGAATAAATAAATAAAAATAAATATTACTAAAATTAAAAAAATGCTTCGATAACTGTTTTTCTGTGTACCTGGCTTCTTTTGTTATTTTATGTATTATATTTTGCTTTAATTTTAGTTTTGGTTCAAGGGCCTTGTAACCTCACTTCATCTGCTCACGAGAGTTGCATTCTTTTTGCTGAAGCTTACACTGCCTTGAGGGGCTACACCCTTCCATTGTCACTCCCCATGGTTATGTACTGTTCTTGACCCTTGTGAAGTGAAAGTCACTTAGTACTGTCTGACTCTTTACAACTACTCTTTGTCGACTACGTCCATGGAATCCTCCAGGCCGGAGTACTGGAGTGGGTAGACTTTCCCTTCTCCAGGGGTTCTTCCCAACCCAGGGATGGAAGCCAGGTCTCCCTCTTTGCTGGCAGATTCTTTACCAGCTGAGCTACAAGGGAGGCCCAAGGATACTGGAGTGGGCAGCCTATCCCTTCTCCAGCGGGTATTCCCGACCCAGGAATCAAATTGGGGTCTCCTGCATTGCAGGCGGATTCTTTACCAACTGAGCTATCAAGGGTTCTTAACCCTTATGCATTCTGTATTTTATTTTATGCATTATTCAGAGCATTAATTCGGAGCATTATTTGGAGGGCTAGGCCAGCCTAAAAGGGTCCACAATCCCTCCAAAGTGAAAGCACAGGGTTTTCTAGAGTCAGTGGCCCCTTGACCACCAGCTGTGGGTGTGGCCTGTTGAAAGAAGGAGTCAGAGGGTGCGGTCAGAGGGCGGGGGGGGGGGGGGCCTGGGTGGAGAACTGGAGGGTGGTTGTGCGGATGTGTCCCCATGAAGGGGCACAGTCCAGTGAAGGACCAGCAGGTCCACACCAGAAATGACAGGGCCATGGCTGGACTGTGGATCTCAGTTGCCGAACTACCTGGGGTTGAAATCCTGGCTCCCTCTTTGAAACTCAGTTTCCCTTCTGTATCACAACCAAATGCACCTCCCAGGATGATTCCAAGGAATGAATGAGATAATCCACGTTAAAAACAGAGTGTCAGAAATGTGATCAACACCCACTGTAGGTGAGCGGGCAGAGTGGAGACAGAGATGATAATTAATATTTTAACAACTACCACTTGTTGAGCACCTATTATTATGCGCTGTGCCTGTGCTAGGGAGTGCCATCCCTGACCTCCATTTACCTTCCCCGAGATCCTTAAGGCGGGTTGGAGATGGACAGAAAGAGGTGGGTGAGAGAGGGAGCAATGAGGTGTGGGGATGGGGAGTGGAGGGAGGGGACAGAGATGGGATTTGGGGGGAAAAAGGAGGAAGAGGATAGGTAGAGAGGAAAGGGCCCCCCCAGAGTGGGGAGCAAGGAGAGACCCCAGAAAATCCGGTGCCCCTTAGGAAGAGCATTCAACACAGTGGAGTCACAAAGGCTTTGTAGGGGGAGGGATAAAGGCTCCAAGTTGCTCTGTCTACCTCTCAAGCTTCCCTCTCCCAAGTCCCCCAAGTCCCCCAATCCCGCAGGCCAGGCTGCCTACCTCAGTGGTAAAGAAGCCTTTGGGTCGGTGTTTGCCCAGGGAAGCCAGGCCACCAGGCCCAGAACTCTCGCTTGCACTGATGGTCTGCTGAGCTGCCGCCAAGATTTCATCCAGTTTGTCTGGGGGGAGGCGGAAGAGGGGCAGAGAGACAGCGAAATGAAGTTGGCTTGGGCCTGGCGGGCACAGAGACGGAGCTTCTGGGCGCCCCATTCAGTGGCTTGTATGAACCAGGGACGGGCATCTCTGTCTCCCTCCCGGCGGGCCTCCTTGGAGACACAAGGTCCAGCCGGGCAGGGCAGGTGGGATGCAGCGATGGAAAGGGCCGAGGGCAGGGAAGAGGACAGCCATCCTTCGAGGGAGGGAGGGTGCAGCGGAGGCAGAAGGGGCTGCAAAGAGGCTCATGACAGAGGTGGGTGCTTAAACTTATCGGCTGGTGCACAGTCGGGGTGTGTGGATGATCAGCGTGCAAGTGGCTGAAGGGGGCGCGGGGCAGAGGGGAGAGGGACGGGGTGGGTGTGGATGCAGCACCCCAGGGGGCGTGGGGTCGGGGGAGCTGCGGCCGCCCCCCGGGGAGCAGGGCTGGGCCATCTTACTGAGAGCCATCTGATACACGGTCCGCTTTTTCTCCATGCTGGGCACCGGCGGCGGCGGCTGCTCGTACTCTGTGGGCAAAGGAGGCGGATGAGGCCCGGGGAGCCCCCGGGGGCGGGGCGGATCGGGCTCGGCCGGCGGCGGGCGTGGCCGGCGGGCGTGCGCAAGCGCGAGTGGGGCGGTGAGGGGCCGGGGTCGGGGAGGGGCGAGTCCGCCGGCGGGAACGGGACGGGGGCCCTCCCGCCAGTCCTGTGCCCACTCACCACTCTTCTTCTTCCAGGGGGAGACTAGCCCGGGGGGGAGGCAGTAGAGGAGCCAAGAGTTAGGACTTCGTGGGGAGGCGAGGGGTCCCCTCTCTGGAACGCCCGCCTCCCTCAGGGCCCCGGGGTGGGGGGGAACCGGAGCCCCCGGGTCCGCTCGGCCTTGCCTGGAGGGAGGGGGCTCGCCTTCCCTTCTGTTAGTGGGAGTGAGGGGAGCTGGTAGCGGGAGAAATAAGAGGATGCGGGTGGGGCTGCGGGGGGACAGACGGAGAGGAGCTAGAAAGGAAACCGGGACCCGCAGAGAGGAACGGTACAGACCCAGAGAGAGACACCCCAACAGAGAAACAGATATAAACAGGGAAAGCCGACTCTCAGACGCCCTTTCCCAGCGACACACACTCAGGTCAGTGGGAGCCTGACCCGTGGCCTGGGGGACGCGATGAGGACAGGAGCCCCTGGTCACTACCAACACTAGCAAACCCGAGGGGTGGTCCAGCCGCCCGCGGCCCCCTCTCCCTCCGCAGCACCTGGTCCCCGGCAGCCCCGCAAGCTCACCCATCTCCTCCAGCTCGGAGGTCATAGACTTGGAACGCAAGGAGATGGTTGGGGGCGGGAGCCGCTTAGCTTGCTGGGGTGCTGGAAGAAAATGACGGTGAGGTCAGACGTCAGCACCATGGACAGAAACCCTCCACGCCCACCCTTACCCCTCACCACTGCGGCGCTCCCAGAGCTCAGAGAAGAGATGCTGGTGATGGCGTTTAGTCGCTCAGTCGTGTCCGACTCTTTGGCGACCCCATGGACTGTAGCCCACCAGGCTCCTCTGTCCATGGGATTCTCCAGGCAAGAATTCTGGAGTGAGTTGCCATTTCCTTCTCCAGGGGATCTTTCAGCAAGCTGAGCTTTTGCTCAGTTCCTCTCCTGAGGGTCATGATCAAGCAGCCTTGGGGAGGGGAAGGCTGCTGCTCCTGGTGGGACCACTGGGTCATTAGGGCTCCAGAAGGTCTGAGTCCAGTGGCAGTGGCGGGCGGGGGGAGTGTCCAAGCCTGACCACACAAGTCGGGGGAAGGAGCACCTTTCTTATGAACAGCTTCATCCATGTCCGGGTGCCTGGTGACCATCACCACCTTGACCATCAGCGTGTTGCCCCCTTGGCGGATCATGTTCACCACCTGCCGGTGGCCGACCTTCACCACGTTCTGCCCATTCACCTGTGGCACAGACACCCCCAACCACACCTGACAGGTGAGGGGTGGGATGCTTTCTGCTTCCGGGTCCCCGTCGAAGTGGCCTCCTTCTGCCTGGCCCTGTCTGTGGCACTGCCGGTCACTCTTCTCCTCCCCCCGTCCCCCTTGCAAGCCCCCACCTCTCCACTCCTGTAACTCTTAGGGCCTCAGAGTTGGGGAAGGGGCTGAGCCCACCCTATTTGCCTCTCTCCCTCCTTGTTCTCCAGCTGTGTGTGTGTGTGTGTGCACACGGACGTGCCTGCCTGCACACGCACACATGCGTGCACACCTAAGCCCTAGGGGACAGCTCTGTTATCTTCTGAGATGCTTCAGAGAGGCTTTCAGATAGAATCACTGTAGAGGCTGGCTAGCTGCTGGGGGGTGGGGGGAAGGGCAGGGGGCTGGAAAGCTTGGTGCCAAAGGAGAATGTGGATCTGGGCAGCAGCATCTTGGCATGGATCATAAGGGGTCTGGGGATTTGTTGCTAGGGTCCCAGGGGAAAGCGCGGTGTCTGTGGCAGGTGGGCCAGGTGCTGGGTCTCTGGAGAAGCCCCTGGGAGGCTGGGGGCCAGGACTCACCTCGATGAGGAAGTCTCCCATTCGCAGTCCAGCCCGCCATGCCACACCGCCCTCGTCCACCGACTCCAGATACTGCAGTGCCGGGAAGGCTGGGGTGGGGGTGAACTCCTCGATGGGGGTCTGCGCTGCAGATGGGGAGGAGCCGGCGGGGTCGGAGGGGAGAGGGTGGAGAGGCCGAGCAGGGGATGGGGCTCAGACCCAAGTCACAGAGGCCTCACCGTAGCTGAGGGACCAGCACCCCGGGGTGGGGTGGTGGGCGGGTCGGGGGAGGGGTCCCAGGAAGGGGGGGGGTCCCTTCCCCTGTCCGTCCCCCTGGGTCAGAGAGCCCTTCTCCCATCCCCACCCCGGCCGGCACTCACCCTTGGCCCCCCGGAGCACGAACCCAAACCCCTCACTGTCCTTCTTCTGCAGCAGAACTGTCTTCTCTTTGATGATGTAATCGCTGGCGGGGAGGGTGGGGGAGGGGGTGGGGTGGGTGGAAAAAGGATCATGAGACACGGAGCCACCTCGTGCCCCGCCAGTCACCTGGCGACCTGAACCTAAGCTCTAGAACCCTTCATTCCACCACCACCCCCACCCAGGAGCCTCCTCACCCACTCCACGTGTGTCTGCTTGCAGCAGCCCTGACAGGCCTCTCCCCCTCGGAGCCTGGAGCACGCGGTCTCCCACTCACTCTTTCCTCATTCATCCATCGGCGCATCCATCCACCCATCCATTCAGCAAGCACGGCGGGAAGAACGCAGAGGTGAACCGCCAGATCGCCAGACAGCCTGGCTGGAGGCCCTGCTGGCCACTTCCTCTCTGTGACCTTGAGCCCTGACTTTAACCTCTGGGGCCTCGGTTGCCTTGTCTACAGCAGCGGACGATGACAGACCCCACCTGGTGGGGTCACCGTGCGAGTTCCCTCATCTATAGTGTATATAGTATTCAGCAGAGTGCTGGGTACAGAGCGTGTGCACAATACGATGTGTTCTCTGTCTTTGGCCAAGTCTTTTAGTCCAGAGGACAGTTGTACTTGGATGATACCTCTCCCAACTCCCAGCCTATATATATACACACACACATATATATATGCTACAGTAACATCTCCCCAGGTCCCTGAGCAGATTGTTAACACTGCTTATTCAGCAACTGTCCAGTATGGTGGCCGCTAGCTGTCTGTGTCTATTTATATGCAAATTGATTAAAAATTAAATGGAAAAATTCAGTTCCTCAGCCTCGCTAGCCACGTTTCCAAGGGCCCGGCAGCCACATACAGCTAGTGGCTACTACGCAGGATGGCCCAGATATGGAATGTCTCCATTGCCACAGAAAATTCTAGCGTGCAGCGATGACATCTACTTCCTGGCATACTCAAATGGATCTCCTTCATGCGGTCAGAGGATTCTAGCAAAATGAAAACTGCATGTGAATACGTGGAGAGTTCCCTGTAAGGCCGGATGCTCACATAGCCAGAAAAGTTCAGTTAAACGCAGACCTATTTCGTGTCTCTCAACACCGGCCCCGGGCTCACTCAGGTAACAGCTGCAAACCCTAGACGTCACCATGGTGTACATCAGGGCTGCACATCCATTCCATTCCAGGAGCCCCAGTATACAGCAGGCACCCCAGAATACCCAGGCACCCCAGCTCCAGGCTTTTCAGAATACCCACTATCCCCCACCCCTGCCCCAGAGGCACCATGCCTTGCTACGTCCAGACACCCTGCAGTCATGTCTGAAACCTGGCCTAGAGCACAAGCAGCCCCCCCAATAATATCCACAGGCCCCAACACACTCCAATAATAGACAAGCATGCTCCCTGCGTGTTCCAATTACCTACCCCCACAGATCTGGCAAAACAGGCCTCCACCAATACTCCAGTATATTTCAGCAACCCCCCCACACATCCCAGTATGCTCCAATAATAACTCCCCCACACTCTGATCTCAGTCTATTCCCATAACACGCCCCCTGAACACAAACCAGCACACGCCAATAATACTTAATGTGCTCCTACTGTATTTCGGCACCAACCCCCTCCACACATGCAAGCCCTGATGGGTAGTCCGGTGACCCCTGACACATCCACGATCGAATCCATACATTTGTACCGTAGGGACAGTGTTCTGCACATGCGCCCTGGCCCCTAGCTCTGCTCCCACCCATTATTAGAACCCCTCGGGCCCAACAGCAGGCATGCACATGTAGACACAGCCCACAACTGCCCTGGCTCAGAGCTGACGATGCTTCAGTAAACATGTCTATGCCATATCCATTACGTCTTCTAGACCTTATATTCAACCCAGGGATCGATCACCTTGTATCTGGGTGGAGAGGATGTTGGAAGAGAAGGAGGGAAGGGGTTGAAAGCGATGAAGAAGGGGAGGAAAGAGGTCAAGAAGGCTCCTTGAGTGGGTGAACGATGGGGCCAGTAGAAATGAGTTGAGAGGTTAGAGCTGCCTGCTTCTGACCATGAACTCCGTAGCATCCTCGTCCCCAGCTCTGTGCCCACTGTGTAGCCTGACAACCTCCTCTGAGCCCTCAGGCCTTCACTGCCCCCATAGCCCTTCCAGATCTCCAGGGCCCCCCAGTGGCCAGTAATGCTCTTCAGATCCCCTTTATTCCTCATTTACAGCAATTTCGCTTTCATTCATCCATCCCACAAACCCTACCTTGCCCCCATCCCCCTCAATCTCTCTTTCACCCCCACAGTTTCCTCACACTTCATACATAAGCCTCCCCCAAACATCCAGCCCCTAATGCAATTCAAAAAGACTCCTTTATCCATTAAATGGGAAGAAATAGCCTGTGCTATGTCAACCAGCATCTGAAGCCCCTCACAGGTAAATGACTCAATCCATCATCTCCCACGGCCGGCCTTTAGGTAGGCGTGAGTACCATTTCCACTTTACGGATGAGGAAACAGAGGCACAGAAAAGTCAAGGAACTTGCCTGGGCTCACACAGTGAACAACATTCTTCAACAATTCCCAAGAAAGTACCCGGGTAGGTGCAATGGTAACACCCTCCACTTCACTGAAACCAAACACCCCAGTACATACACATTTGCCCCCAATTCACCATGAACGTGCCCCTCCAGTGCCTGAAATTTACCCCAGGCTATGCCCATAGCAAAACAAGTAACATTTATTGAACAGTTGCTGAATGCCAGACGGCATTCCAAGCACTTTACGTTTATGTATTCATTCAGTCCTCACGACACCCCCTGGAAGGGGTTGGCTGTTATCATTCCAGTTTTGTAGATGAAGAAACTGAGGCACAGAGAAATAAGTTTGCTCAAGATCACACCTGCCAGAAAAAAATGTCACAGCCAAGATCTGAATTCCCCATAGGCAACCCACGCATGCACGCATGCTAAGTCGCTTCAGTCATGTCCAACTCTGTGCGACCCCATGGACAGCAGCCCACCAGGTTCCTCTGTCCACGAGATTCTCCAGGCAAGAACACTGGAGTGGTAGGCAACCCATATACCCCAATAATATCCAAACACCAGCAGATCACCCCATCCCTCCCTCTCGAGTCTCCCCATCCTGGACATACACCTCTCTTTCCCATGACTTTCTCACCAACCCCCAGCTCTGCGTGCTGTCTCTCTCATCCTCCTTGAACTGCCCAATTGCCCTCTTGTGCCCACAATCCCTACAACTGGGTATTCCTTCTCCCCTACTCCTGTGTATACCTTCTTGCTCTGCACCTGGATCCCCCCTCAAGTCGTCTGAAAGCTCCCCAGGACCCTAACCCACTCCCCACCAGCTCTCACCTCCGCAAGCCCGCATTACACCCCACGGGGCCATCCCCCCACTTCCCATTTTGCCCTTGCACACCCCACATCCCCTTTCCCAAAGTTGTCTCCCACAGATTTCTGTGACCTCCTTACCCCCTCTCAGGCCAGCTCTCCCTCTCCTTTGCCCTCATCCCTCCCACAGCCTCTTGAGCCTCAGTATAGAGCCCCACTGTATCCCCTACAGCAACCTAGGTTTCTTTCCTACTCCAGTTCCCCCCCCCAATCCATTCTCATCCGTGGAAGCCTCCTCCTACTTTCACATCCTCAATTCACTTCACCCTTCCTTCTGTCTCCTTTCACTGGCAGCTGCATTTCATTTACATTCCCTGCATCTCCTCTCAGTGCTCTCCCTGAACTGTCTGAATCCCTGCCCCCCAATCCTCTTCACACTTCCTGCACCCCCTCCTTACCCCATTCCTCCTTTCCCCCCCGCGCACACGCTCTGCTCCGGCGTTCCCCATTCCTCCCCCGACTTCAGTATCCCCCACTCCCCCCCCCCCCCCCGTTCCCTTTCCATCCTGCCAGCCTCCTACCCAGACCCTCTAACCCCGCCCCCTGCCCTACCGTTGGCGACCCACGCAGCACCCCATTCATGCTCCCGTGGGGCTGACTACCTGCCTTGCAGAAGCACACACAATGTTCCGCCCCAGGCCATCCCTCGGCGACCCTGAGCGGCCTCTGGAGCCCAGCGGCCAGCTCTTGTTCACCAGATCCCACACACAGGGACTGCAGCAGCCTCCACTCCCCCCACCCCCACCCCGAAGGTCCCTCTCGCACACCCCGGATTCCACAGCCCAGAGCCTGCTGCTGTACATGGCGCCCCCCTCTGGCACTCAGCCCCTCCCCGTGTCCCAGCGCCACGGGGCCTCTCCATGGCCTGCCCAGAGGGCGCCCCCCGCTCCCGCAGGGAAGCCAGCCCCCTCCCATGCTGAGGAGTGACACAGAAGCAGATGCAGTTCCCCGTGCAGAAGCTCGACCGTGTCTCAGCACACGTGCCCCACACAGGCACGGACCCCTGGGGCAGGGAGAGGGGTGCGTGGGGACGGGGACCGGGGACCGGGGAAGGGTGGTTGTGGGGGAGGGGACAGGCCTGGTCAAGGAGGGTGGGTGTTGCGAAACACAGCCGCAGTCCCTGGGACAGACCCCCCCCACACACACACACGCAAACACACTAGTCCCCAGACAGCCTCGCTATCGCTCCAAGTCACACACAGAGATAGACGCCGGCAAACAGGGACATAAAGATGGACACAGTTGGGGGGTGGGCTGGGAGCCCACCATCTCTCTCTCTCTCTCTCTCTTGCTCACACACACACATACACACACACACACAAACAGGGCTGCAGGCAGTCACACACACGCACGCACACCGCCACAGCCATAGGGACACACGCACCGTCGCACAGTGACACGCAGCGGAAAAAGAGGAGGGGAGGGGAGACGGGGGCGGGATGCGTATGTGATGGGGGGAGATGACTGTGAATGGGAGAGAGGGGTATGAATGGGGGGACTTGCCAACTCCGTGAAGGGGTGCGGGGACACAGGGATCAGAGGAACGCGGGCCTGGGGTGTAGATGCCTGAGGGGAGGGCTCTAGAGTGGGGGCGCTAAGGGTGGCAGGAAGGACAAGTGGGGCCCGAATCCCGGAGTGGAGTCCGTCTGGAGGGCCTCCTTAGGAGGGACGTCCTGGAGAAGGAGCTGAAGGGGGCCTAGAAGGGCCTAGGAGGGGCCGGAGGAGTGTGTGTGTGCGTGTGTGTGGGGGCGCGGGGGGGGGGTCGGGGAGACAGGCCTGGGTGGGGGGAATGAGAAAACGAAGCGGGGAGAAGAGGGGTCCGGAAAGGGCTTAGTGCGGAGAGAAGGTTAGGGGAGAAGGGCGGAGGAGGTGGGCGGCTTGGGGGCGGGGAGGGAGCCCCAGGGACGGGGGAATCAGCGGCTGGGGGAGGGTCGTCGCCGCGGGCCGGGGCCTCCGGGCCGGGCCGCGGGGGGAAAGGGGCGGCGCGCTCCGTTACCTGTAGATATACCAGACGCTGCGCCGCCGGGGCCCCAGGGCCGGCCAGCTGGAGGAGAGCGCGGGGGGCGGCTGCGGCAGGGAGCCCCCCCCGGGGCCGCCCCCGAGACCCCCGCCGCCGCCGCCGCCGCCGACCGCTGACAGAGCCATCGCCGCCGCGGCCCCGGCCCCGGCCCCGGTCCCGGTGCCGGCCGCCCCCGCCGCCGCCGCCGCCGCCGCGTCCCCGTCCCCGCTCGGCCGAACCCCCGTGTCCGGGCCCCCAGGCCCCGCCTCATGCTGACCCGCGCCGGGAGGGGGAGGGGGAGGGGGCGCGCGCCCTCCCGCGGGAGGGAGGGCAGGGCCGGGGGCTCACATGCCGGGGGGCCGCGGGGGCGCGGGCCGCGGGGTCGGGCCGCGGCGGGAGCGCGAGGACCGCGGACGGCGCCGGCTTCAGCACCGCGGACAGCTCCGGAGGCGGGCGGCGGGCGCGAGGCTTAACCCCTTGGCGTCCTGCGCCGGGCGGGGGAGGGGGCCGGGCCGGGGGGAGGGGGCCGGCAGGGGAGCGCGGGGGCCCCCTTGGCGGGAGACGGGGGAGGGGCGAGCGCGGGGGGAGGAGAAGGGGGAGGCACTTCCGGTCTGGGCCCCCCCCTTCGCCCCCCTCCCCCCTCCCGAGCCCTCCCGCGCAGGTGCAGAACGAGGGAGCGCGGGGAGAGGGACGCACAACATCACACGAGACGCCTCGCAACCGCGTGCGAGGGACGCGCGGACACCGAGCCCCACTTCCCGAGCCGGGGGGGGGGGGGGGACGGCGCGGCGAGAGAGACCCCGGGAGGGGAAGCACAACCCTCCCCCCCGCCCCCCACGGCAGACAGACGCACGATGCACCCCGACAGTCTGGAAGGGGCCGGAAAGGGAGAGCCAGGACGTTTGGACTGGGCGCCAGAACAGGGAGGGACACCCCTCCCCGCAAAGAAGTCCAGGCGGAGGGACATCCACGCACCACGGCTCCCCGCCAGAGGGCCGCAGACCCCCGGGGAAAGGACAGAGGGCAGCGGAGGCCAAGAGGGGTGACACGCGGCGGGACAGCACAGCTCCGGCAGGGAGGCAGGGTCACAACACGGGCCAGGCCACCCCAGACAGGGCCGGGGAGAGCGGAGGGTGGGGGGTGGGGAGGAGAAGCTCAGACATGCCGCGCGCAGGGCAGCACATGCCAGCGGGCAGGAGGGGAGGAAGAGGGGGGCCACGCACTTGACAAGCAGAGGAAAGAGGAGGAAGAAGCTGAGCGACTACCCTCATCCAGCTGGTAGAGCAAACGACCCCCAAACCAAAGCCAAGGGGAGACCCAGAGAGACACGGACAAGAGACGAGAAGCAGGGGCTGATGGGGAGACTCCGGACGGTGGGGGGGACCTCGATACTCACCCAGTGCCCAGAGCCGGAGACGTGCCAGGCGAACACGCACAATGGTCAAGCGCCTCGGACACTTGGGGCGCAGGGTGGCACCCCAGTCCCACCCTCTCTTCCCATATTGTCACTTCTCTCCTCCCCCCTACCCCCACCCCCGGCCCTCCCCCGCCCCGATCCATCCCCACTGGCCAGAACACAGACACGTAGGTTTGGACACATTTAATGGAAGGATGCTACGAACAAGGAGACCCTTCCCTGGATCAGGGGGAGCGGTGTGGGGGGGGATGTCATCTTTCAGATGCCCAGTTATGACCATCCCTCCCCCACAGCCTGGCCCTTCTGGAAGCTCAAGCCCTGGAGTCCTCCCCTCTTCCTCCCTCCCCTCCCCCAGCACCCCAGGTCCTGAATTCCAGATCAATTGGACAGACACAAATGCATGCACACAACTTTATGCGTTAATGCGCACACACAGCGACGTGCATGAAGAGGGACAAGCATGTGCAGAGACCCACCGCCGGTCCCCAGGTGGTAAGCAGAAACACTGGACATCTCTGGAAAACACTGGCCCTCATTCTCAGACACACGGATTTGAGGAAAGAGAGGTGCAGAGAGAGACAGCCACACAGTGAGCCACAATCGTGCACCAGAAATGACAGCCACAAATGCACCCATCTGTACTGAGCGGGACACACCCTCTCGCTGTCACGGGCATGTGCACGGGGCTAGAACTCCAAGGGCCTCCGGCCACACATGCACACAGACACGTGTCATGCACACCTACAGAGGCACACGGGCAAGAACACGCCTGGGGAATCTGTACAGGGATGCTCGCTGACCGTGTGAGACGGTCACGCACAGGGGGACTGTAGCTCTGGGGGTACACACGAACATCCATACGCCCCCAGGCACCCCTTCCTTCCCATTCCTGACCCCGTTCCCTCCCTTCCCCTCCCCTCTCACCTCCCTGGGCCAATCCCATCCATCAAGCTTCAGAAGCAAGTCAGCCAGCAGCCAGGGAGGGGAAAGGTGTCAGTGCCTTCTCCCCGCCCGCACCCCGCCTGGCCGGCTCTGCCATCCACCCCCCACCTCCCCCCACATGGCCAGCATGGGATGCACACACTTCCGCCGCACAGGACTGCACAGAGATGCGGCACATGAAGGAGACGGGAGCCTCCAGCCACCATACAGGGGAGCTCCCCAGCCCCCCAGGCATCCCCACCTTGCCCCAGTCCACCTCATTGGCCTCTGGCTACCCCAGAGCTGGGCAGTCTCAGTGGCTGCCAAGGATGGTTTGGGGTTGAGCTGTGTGGTCTGAAGCTAACCCTGCCTCCCTCCACCCCGATCAAACATTAGAGGGAGCAGATGAGAGAGGGGGCTTTGAGGTGGTGGACTTACTTAAAAGGTGGAGTGGGAGGGATGTGGTGGGGGGGGGTTGCCCGAGGGTGTAGGACATTTACCTTGGGGCATCAAAGCTGTCGTAGGAGCCCACGGTATAATGCCGGAAGAGTCTCTTTGCCTTGTCACTTCGGCTTTCTGTAGGGGGACAAAAGATGACCTTGGATCTTCTACTCTGGAAATCATGGGTTCACCCCCTGGGGTCCTGGCCCAAGCCTTCCCTTCGACCTCTCACCCCCACCAGGAGGGGGAAAGGAAGTGACATGAAAATCTAGAGTAAGTCAGGGACACCTGGGGGTTCCTCGTTACCTTGCTTTGCTTCCTGGGAGCGGTTGGCCACCTCTTCCAGGCAGTCAGAGGGGAACCAGCCAATGCGACCTTTGACCTGGCCTTCCCAGAAGCCTCCTTCCCCGATGCTAAGCACTGGGTGGGGAGTGGGGACACAGAATAGAAACATTTCTGCATTTCTCTGCTGCCCACACCTCCCCTACCCCGCCTGCTCCCAACACTTGATGCACAGCCTTTCCACAATTTTCAGCACCTTGCCCAGAATCCGGCCCGAGGGCACCCCCAGGAAGGGGCGCGGGGGAAGTGTGTGTGTGCTCAGTCATGTCCGAATCTTTGCTGTCCCATGAATGGTAGCCCGCCAGGCTCCTCTGTCCTTGAGATTTCTCAGGCAAGAATACTGGAGTGGGTTGCCATTTCCTCCTCCAGGGGCTCTTCTGGACCCAGGGATTGAACCTGCACTGTTTTCTGCATTGCAGGCAGATTCTTTACAGTTTAGCCATCAGGGAAGCCCCACAACGGGGAATGGGGAGATAGTCACTCCTGCATAGTAGCTTCCTGAACACAACGGGGACACCAAGAGGCACTGGGGACAGGGGCTGTGTCCCATGATGTGGTCCTTGCAAGTTAGGGACATATCCACAACTGGCTCTCATCGCCCTGGGTAACCAGTCACAACTCAGTTATTCTGCAATTTCCCTAAACCCCCCGTTAGGCTCCTAGGTCACGTGTTATACCTCATTACTACCCCTGCCACCTCCTGCAGTCTCCTTGCCATTAAACCTCTTGTCTTCTGTTCCCAGGCCCCTCCTTCTGTCTCTCTTTGCTTCCCCTGGCTCTAGATGGGAGATTAGAATCGTCTCTCCTTCTCTCCGCTGCTCGTTACCGGAGGCCCCTGCCCACCACCTCTACTCCTTAGACATGGAGCATACACTGACCCACAATGATGGGCAGGAGGGACAGCTGATGTCTTCCCAACTCTCACCGGGGCCAGGACCCTAAGAGGGGCTGTCATACTGTCATGTGCCCCATTTTACTGATGGAGAAACAGAGGCTCGGAGACACTCAGGCGCGTTTGCTCCAGGTTTTGCAGCCTGGATTTGAACACTCCTGTTTTGCTACCTCTCTGTTCTAGTGCTCTGCTGCTGCTGCTCCTGATCATGACGAGAGCAAAAGGAACAAGCCCACAGCCGTCCACTTCTCCAGCACCTTTCACAGCTCTCTTCCCACTTGGCCCTTCACATCCTTCACTCACTGTATCCTTACACCTCGGTAGGTAACAATTGATTTCTCATTTTAAAGATGAATTTGAAGCTAGAGTAGAAAAACCTCTTGCCCAGGGGTGGCTCGAGCCATGCTAGGGTTGGGATTGGGGCCATCTGATGCTTTGCCCTGCACCGATCACCTCCTCTGAGAGGGTCTGGGGAAACCCCAGCCAGGAGATGCTCAAGGTCATGGAAGAGAGCAGATGTGTGTCAAGAGGTCTGGGCTCCTGGCTGACTCTGCCTTGCCCAGCTGGATGATCTGGGAATCAATCATTTGTTCACTAAACAAATATGTATTTCGTGCCAGCCATGAGTCAGACGTCAGGCTAGGAACCGAGTAGAGCTGTTGTGTTAGTTGCTCAGTCCTGTCCGACTCTTTGTGACCCCGTGGACTGTAGCCCGCTAGGCTCCTCTGTCCATGGGATTCTCCAGGCAGGGATACCTGAGTGGGTTGCCCTTCTCCAGGGGATCTTCTCAACCCAGGGATCAAACCTGGGTCTCCTCCACTGCAGGAAGATTTTTTACTGTCTGAGCCACCAGGGGAGTGAGTAGAGCTGTCAGACACAGCCAACGTGGTTCCTGTCCTCACGGAGCTTCCAGACTGGCAGCCGGGGGAGACATAACTCTACAAGTGACCCCATGATTGGAAAACTGAGGTCAGGGCCTGAGGGGGCAAAGGAAAGGAATTTTGGAGAAAGACCAGATAGGAGTATATAAATCCGATGAGGGGATTTCTCTGGTGGTCTTAGAGGTTAAGACTTCAGCTTCCAACGCAGGAGGGTGTGGGTTCGATCCCTGGTCGAGGAGCTAAGATTCCACATAAACCATAAAACAGAAGCAATATTCTAACAAATGCAGTAAACACTTTAAAAATGGTCCACATCAAAAAAATCTTTATAAACAAATAAATCTGATGGCATAGGGGGATCAGGAAGGCGTCTCAGAGGATGTGACATACAGGCTGAGCCTGAAGGATGCTGAGTGTGGAGGAGGCAAAGAGAGGGGAGAAAGCCTTTCCAGGCAGAAGGAACAGCATGTGCAAAGAGTTTATGGTGGAAAAGGACTTGGGGAGTTTGAGGAAGGATGAGGAGGATAAGGTCCCTGGATCCCTGCAGGTAAAGGGAAAAGTAGCCTGAGATGAGGTCGTGGGGAGGGCAGAGTGGGCAGAGGAGGGGCCTGCAGGCCAGGCTGAGGCCCTAGGCTTTGATCCTGAGAGCAGAGGGAGTCTGCTGCCTTAACCAGGCAATGAAGAAGCCCAGTGACATCATGGATGTGGGTGTGCTCTGAGGCAATCAGGGAACTTTTAAGGAAAGGAAAGGATATGAAATCAGGGCAGCGCATCGGATGACTGGGCTTGACATTCAGAAAGACACACAGAAGATGCAGCCCATGGCCCTCTGCCTGTGGGAGGGTCCCTGACCTCTGACCTCAGCTTCCCTTTCTTCTTTTGGACAGACCTGACCCCCACTCCTGAGAGTCCCTTGGACAGCAAGGAGATCCAACCAGTCCATCCTAAAGGAAATCAGTCCTGAGTATTCACTGGAAGGACTGATGCTGAAGCTGAAACTCCAATACTTTGGTCACCTGATGCGAAGAACTGACTCAATGGAAAAGACCTTGATGCCAGGAAAGGTTGAAGGCAAGAGGAGAAGGGGACGACAGAGGATGAGATGGTTGGATGGCATCACCGACTCAATGGACTTGAGTTTGAATAAACTTCGGGAGTTGGTGATGGACAGGGAGGCCTGGCGTGCTGCAGTCCATGGGGTTGCAAAGAGTCGGACACGACTGAGCGACGGAACTGAACCCCCCACCTGGCCATACACACAGACACACACATACACACACTCCCTGGCACGCTGCCTCCCCGCCAGAGACACTGTCCCTGCCTGGCCCCCACAGTTAGCTCCTGCATTTGGCCATTCGTCCATCCACCTGTCCACTCAGCAGGTATGCACTGAGGCCCTCTGTGTCCCGGGTCATTAACCTGGGCCCTGATGACCCGGCCCCCGATGACACATGACCTCATCTTCAGAAACTCAGGCACGAGGGAGACAGACTACAAGACAGATGTAATTACACAACCCAACTGACACTCTGACCCCGGCACGCTCTTCAAGGCCCACTTAAACCATGTCTCCTGTGGGAAGACCCCCCGCACCCCCGGACTCAGCTTCCCCCAGGGCCTAGGGTCTTTCCCTTCTAAGTACCCCTAGTGGGGCTGCGCATGATAATGACAGCTGGCCTTACTAGGTGTGAATCACTGTTCTGGGGGCTTTCCAAGAGCTGACTCCTTTAATCCTTGCAAAGGTCCCATTGTACAGATGAGGCCACTGAGCCCCGGAGAAGTCACTTGCCTGAGGCCACCCTGCTAGGAAGTGCAGGAGCTGGGACTTGAACCCAGACAGCCTGGTTCTCAACCCCTACGCGACTCGGCTCGTCTGCCAGCCTAGAGTCGGGCAAAGAATTGCTTCCCCGCCTCCAGTGAACTACGGCAGGGTACTTCCTGTCTCCAAAGCACCATTCTGTCCAAGAACACACATCCGCAGCCTTGCGAAGTCTGCACGCGGGGGATCCTGGCATGGTTTTCCAGAGGAAGGCAGGGAGGCAGAACAGAGGCAAACCCCCGTGACAGCAGCCTCTGTTCAGGAAGCCCTCGGCAGGGACCGGCTTCACCTACTGCCCATCTCGTCAGGGCCTGGGGAAGCGGGCACCACCACCCCGGGTCTCAGATGAAGATGCCTGGCAGAGGCAGGAGGTGAAGTCAAGGCAGCATGTCCCTCACTTTCTGCACAAGAGAGCGAGAAGAACTGTGCGCTCGAACTGGGGACCTCAGGCAAGTTGCTTCACCCTTGCAAGGCTCTGTCCCTTCGACTGTACAATGGGCTCCGGACACCCGCCTTCGAGGGTGACGGTGAGCGAGATGGGACCTCATGGGGTCGATGTCCCAGAGATGTTCATCTCCTCTCTTTTGCCTGGACCCCGCCTCCTGGCAGCGCATCTGAGCTCCACTGTATGCCCCTCGGAGGCAGAAGGGGCACCTAGGTCTCTCTGAGGTCTCCAGCGTGCCCTGGAAGTTCCAGGTGCTGGACAACTGTTGGTCACGGGCCCCTCCCTGAGAAGGGGGTGAGTTCACCTGCTGACCCTTGCCCACAGCCCGGCTGCACCCTGCCCCTTTACCTTTGATCTTTTCGCCCTTGCTCAGGGAGATCTCCCCCTCGGCTTGGGCCTGGTAGGACTTCACCGCCATGAAGGAGCGTCCAGGGACGGCCGAGTAGAGCTTCCTGCGTCTCCCGCGGCTGCCCAGGGAGCCCCCGGGGCCCCCGGAGCCCCCCGTGCCCCCGGCCGGCCCTTCCCGGGGTGTCCCGCTGGAGCTGCATACACAGAGGGTGTGAGAGGCAGGGGCGAGTGGAGGGAGGGGGTGCCTCTGGGAGAACAGGGGTCCTTGGGGGGGGTGGGAGGTGGAGCATCAGGGTGGTGGAGGGGGTCTAAGTGCCTTTTCCGGCTCTGGTGTCCTCGGGGGCCGGGGGTCGGGGGTGGGGGGGAAGAGGGCATTTGGGGGCTCCCCCTGCCTGCCCGCTGTGGGCCCGCCGGCCCCCTTTCCTGCCTCCTGGCTTCCGGCTCTGTCCCCTCCCACGGGCCTGCACACCCTGCCTGATTCAGCTTCCTGAAGCTCTGCCTGTGTCATCCCTGCCTCACGAGCCTTCGGCGACTCCCAGCTTCCTCCTGGGCTGGGTCCAGCGCCTCTCCCGCCATCCCCAGCCTGCCACCATCTTCCTCCCGCCCACCCCCTCCCTGTCCCCCTCCAGCCGGCTCCCCCCAATGGCCCCTGCTCATCCTCCCCGCCTCCAGCCTCATCTCCAGGCTTGGAAGCCCCTCCAGTCTCCCTCCTTGCCCATCCCCACTCCGGTGAGCTTCCTCTCACCTTGCCCAGGCTGTCTGTATGTCTCTGCCTGCCTGTCCTCAGGGGCTGGAACCAGCCTTTCTCTTGGGCACCCTCCCCACCCCTGGCCCACGGAGTGACTACTGAGCTAAACTCTGGTGCATTGGAATACACGGCTGCGGGACTGGTTCACAACGCCCTCACTGCCTCGGGGTCAGGAGGGAGACCTGGTGGTCCGAGATGGGGACCAGTGCGTTGGATGGAGCGGGGTGGAGGGCAGCCGTGGCTCCCAGGAGGGGATTCAGGTGCTGGGGGTCTGCGGGACCAGGACTGGGCTCTCTCCCCTACCTGGGCCGTCCACGAGGCTGACGCTTGGCCTCCTCGGGGTGCCTCCCGCGGGATGGGGAGCGGGCCCGGGCGCCCCGGGGGCTGCTGGCACTCCGCAGGGTCCCGCTGCTGAGCTTGGCACTGGGGGCGGCGGGCTGCGCCTGGCCCTGGGGCCCTGAGGTTGGGCCGGGGGCCCCCGTGGACGAGGTCCCCGGGGCGGCGAACACCATCCAGTCGGGCAGGGCCATGCTGGTATCGCTGTTGGCCCGCAGCAGCGCGGGGGGCACCGTCAGCCCTGTGCCCGGGGGTCCCCGGCGCCGGGCTGCATACTTGGGGGACTCCTGGAAGGGCACTGAGGTGGGCAGGCAGGCCGGGGGGCAGGTGGGGAGACACACAGGAGGCAAGAGACAGTTGGGGGGGAGGCACCGGGGGAGAAACAGATGAGAAAGAGTGGGGCTCCTGGACCCCAACCCCTCCCGCTGCCCAGGTGCTTGCGGTCCTCTAAGGTTTATTTGGTCCCATCCTGGCCCCCAGATCAGGTCTGCTGACTCCCCATCCCACCATGCACCCCCCCCCTGGCAAGGACCCCAACTTCTCCCCTTAGGTCGCTCACCCACGTCCTGTTCTCGATGGTTTCGGATCAGCTCCCCAAGTTCAAAATTCCCAGCGATCACTGCCACCTAGCGTGAGGGGGTAAGGGGGGCCCAGGTAGGAGAGAGAGAGAAAAACAAACAGGAAATACTGTGAGGTCTCCAGCCAGCTGCCCTGCACCCCCCAACCTTCACCCCAGCAAGTCCAGCCTCCCTCTTCTCTGAGACCGCCTGCCTCCCTCCCAGCTCCCCAAACTTTACCCCTCTGAGTTCTTCATGCCTCCCCCAACCCGCCCCAACAGACCTGGAAGGGGGTCTGTCCACTGTTATTCTTGACATCCTTGTTGGCCCCTCGATAGAGAAGGATCCTAGCACACGTCTCCTGGTGGGCAGTGGCACGGGGTGAAAGGAAAGAGAAAAACAGTTAAGGCCACCGCAAGCAGACACAGACACTGTGCTAAGAGCCTTTGGAACCATCTGGTGGAAACCCGCCCTGCTCTGGACAGCAGCCACTGGCTTTTTAAACGTGACCAGTCCACACTGAGAGGTGCTGTGTATACAAAATGCACACCGGCTTTCAAGGACTTGAAAAATGTAGTTTAAGTCTCTCTAGTAGTTTTTATGGGGGCTTCTCCGGTGGCGCAGCAGTAAAGAATCTGCCTGCCAATGAAGGAGATGCAGGAGATGTGAGTTCGATCCCTGGGTTGGGAAGATCCCCAGGAGGAAGAAATAGCAACCCACTCCAGTATTCTTGTCTGGAGAGTCCCATGGACAGAGGAGCCTGGTGGGCTACAGTCCGTGGGATACAAGAGTTGGACATGTCTGAGCATAGCATAGGTTTCCCTGGTGGCTCACTCAGTAAAGAATCTGCCTGCAACGTGGGAGACCAGGTTCAGTCCCTGGGTCGGAAAGATCACCCGGAGAAAGAAATGGCAACCCACTCCAGTATTCTTGCCTGGAGAATCCCATGGACAGAGGAGCCTGGTGGGCTACAGACAGTCGGGCATGACTGAGTGACTAACACTTAAGCACAGCACAACAGTTTTTATACTGATTACTTGAAAGGATAGTATTTTTGAAACAAAATATGCTACTAAAATTAATGTCACCTGTTTGTTTTTTCCTTTTATTAAAAAAGTGTCTCCTGGGATACTTAAAATTGCATGTGACTTGGGTTATAGTGTATTGGATGGCTACTAACCTAAACCAGGGTTTTCTTCTTATTATTACTATTTTACTGAAGTATAGTTGATATACAACGTTGGGTTAATTACTGCTGTACAGCAAAGTGAATCTGTTATACACACATACACACATATTTATATCATTTTTTGAAATTATTCCTTTCCATTACAGTTTGCCTGCATGCGTGCCAAATCGCTTCAGTTGTGTCTGACTCTTTGTGACTCCACGGACTGTAGCCAGCCAGGCTCCTCTGTCCATGGAGATTCTCCAGGCAAGAACACTGGAGTGGGTTGCCATGCCCTCCTCCAGGGGATCTTCCCGACCCAGGGATCAAACCCACGTCTCTTAGGTCTCCTGCATTGGCAGGTGGGTTCTTTACCACTAGTGCCGCCTGGGAAGCCCGTTTAATGGTTTATCATAGGAGACTATAGCTGTCTGAGCTCTGCAGTAGGACTTTGTTGTTTATCCATTCTATAGATGATAGCCTGCATCTGCTCGCCCCAACTTCCCAATCAGGGGCTTTCATCATTGGCACTACTGACACTTAGGGTCCAGACACGTCTCTGTAGCGGGGCCACCCTGAGCATTGCAGGCCACCCTGAGCATTGCAGGCCACCCTGTGTGTGCGTTGCATTGAGCAGCATTCTCTGGTCTCGGCCACTAGATGCCAGTGGCACTCCCTCCTCAGTGGTGACACCGAAGAACGTCCACAGGCACTGCCAAATGTCCCCTAGGGCGCGGGAGCATCCGGTTGAGAGCCACCAAGTCAGACCTCTTGGGGTGGGGGACTTACTATGTTGCATGTCAGAGTGCCTTAGAGGCGGTAGCCACTGACTGGCCCAACAATTCCGTGAGATGGAAATGACTGCCCTCATTTTACAGATGAGGAAACTGAGGCTTCAAAGGGAGCCGGTGACGATCAGCCCTTGGATTCGAGCCCAGGTGTGTCTGACTCCTGAGCCCTTAACTTGAATGCTCTGCTAGGCCTGGAAGGAAGGAGGCAGAAGGCAGTGGGGGCCAGGGCTGGATGGTCAAGGGGGTGGGAGACAATGCCATCCAAGTCCAGATCGATTCCTTGCCAGTGTCAGTCACAACAGACCCAACGTCCCTGCCCTGGTCTGGGAGGCCCCCCACTGATCTGCCTGCCCTGCCGCCCCCAGCCCCAGCCTCATCGACCTCATCTGCTACCATCTTTCCTCACTCCCTGCTCCGCAGGCACACTGGCCTCCCTTCTCTGGCAGGCAGGATCGTGCCCCAGGGCCTTTGCACCCGCTGCTTCCTCGACTTGGGAGTCTCTGCCCCTAGCTCTCCACACAGCTCATTTCCTCACTTGATTCACATTTTTGCACAGAGGCCAATTCTTCAGATAAGGCCCCTCTGATGACCTTGTCAAAAATAAACCCCTGACCTGTTCCTGGCTTTATGTTAATTTATATGATACCTGCTGTGTGCTGGGCATTCTTTTAAGTCAGAGTTAACTCGTTTTCCTAGTACTGCCTCCTTGAAATTACATTTCGATTTTATTCATCTCCAGCATCTCTCCCCCACTCCATTGTCTATTTTGGAGAGGCAAGGTTTTGTCTGTGGCACCCACGGCCTGGCATGGTGCCTGGCCCATAGAACCGTTCAAAAATGGTTGCTGGATGAGGGGAGCCCTCCTCTTCTGTCTTGGCCTGGCCAAACCCAACCTGGCCTCCAGCTCAGCTCCACTCCAAATCCCCCAGATGCCAGTCTAACCAGCATTCACCAGACACTTCCTCGGTCTCACCCTCTTCACGTGACAGACCCATCAAGGATGCTTGTACGGGTCCCTCCTACAGGACAGGCCCAGAGAAGGCAAATCCATAGCCAAGGTCACACAGCCAGTCAGTGGGGCAGCTGGGACGCAAACCAAGCTTTCTGATCCTAGCGCTCATCTGTCTACTGTGAAAGCACAACTCTGATCGCCCAAGTCCGATGGCTCCCTGGTTAGATGGCAAAGTTAGCCTGGTTCGTTTTCCGGGCGGGTTTGTGAGTGTGAGTGTGTGTCCCTGTGTGCACATGCTGTCTCCCCGACTCGACGATAAATCGGTGCGTGTGTTTTTGCATATCTGCCTGCCCCCACCATCACTGTGCCTAGCCCAGGCCCAGGAGCACCTCTTTTATCTCAACTAGCAGTTCGCTCCACCCCTGAGCACCCCGTATGTACTGGAGCGCTAGCACTCATCCCACTGGATTGCAGTGATTCGTTTACACATCTGCCTCTTTGCCAGACTGTGAACTACGCCCCCCCCAACCGCAACCGCCCTCCCGAGGACGGGCGTCATACTGTGTCTGATTCATCCCACATCCGGGCACACAATAGGTGCTCAGGAAATGGGCCTAGAAAGGATGAGGATGTGCAGTTGAGTCATGCAAAAGTCATTTGTTCAAATCATTCATTCATTCCTGGAGTCATTCAATCTATCTCGAAGCAAATACCTGTTGAGTGTTCTGAGCTGGATGCTGTGTGTGGTCTTGGCGGGGTATTCAAGGTATCTAATCCATCATTCATTCATTCACTCTCACTCATTCAACAAAGATGCATCTAAGCCTACTATATGCCGCGGCCTTGAGACAGAGCGCTTGATCAGACTTAAGCCCCACCCCTGAGGAGCTCACAACCCGGACATGGCCCTGACCCTTACCACCAGAGGCGAGATGGGCTGGCCAGGAGACCAGAGGGGCAGAGAGTGAGCAAATCTTTCAGACCCAGCTCTGGGCCTTGGGAAGCTTAAAGTCTGGGAGGGAAGAGGAGTGGAGAGAAAGTCAGAGAAGAACTTGTGTTTGTCAAGCATCTATTTGCTAAGCACCATGCTAAGAGCGAGCCAAACATTCACACCCTTGATCCTTTTTGAGGTAGAGGTTACTGACCCATTTTACAGATGAGAAAGTAGAAGCTCAAGGAGAGGGAAATGGCTGACTCATCTGACCCACTCGGAGTAACTGTTCCCTCTCTATATGACCCTATGGACTGTAGCCCACGAGGCTCCTCTGTCCATGGGATTCTCCAGGCAAGAATACTGGAGCAGGTTGCCATGCCCTCCTCCAGCCAGCCTTCCTGACCCAGGGATCAAACCTTCACCTCTTGCTTGGCAGGTGGATTCTTTACCACTAGCGCCACCTGAGAAGCCGCTCTCTATCTATACACTACATTTTCCCTTTCAAATTGCCGGTGTGGTTTCTGTCTCCTGACCAGATTCTGACTGATAACAGTAATGATAATGATAATAATCATTATTATTAGCATAGCTGCCTCCTAGGGATGAGCACTTATCACGCATGATCTTTCATCCCCTTCAATCAGCTGCCGTTATCCTGACTTCAGGGAGCCGGATGGAACCTCAGAGAGGGGAGGGGACTTGTTCGGGGTGCCCTGGCCTGCGCACCGGCTGTGGGGTCAGAAAATCCGGAATGAGGCCCACATGGGGAGCGGGAGAGACAGACGCACCAGGGAGGGGAAGTACAGGCAATTTGACAAACACTGCGTTCTCCCTGCTCGGGCGGGCGCCGAGCGAGCAGACTGCTTGCTGCCACAAGGCGGCACGTGGCTACCTGCCACATCCTGGCACTGCACGTTCTGATGAGGGGGGCTGGGGCTGTTCTGGGAGACTTCCTGGAGGAGGGGGGAAGAGGCTGATGGATCAGCCGCAGCATGCCAGGCCCTGGCCTCGTAAGACCTGAGGCAACCATCCAAGGGCAGGGAGACCCTCCAAGGGCAGAGAGCCTTGGGAAGCAGGTGTTGAGACTGGGGCTTCGGGGACTGGGCTGATCTGCCCAGGCTCCCCCAGTGCACTGGTGACAAACCAGCTGGGGTCATCAGGCTAAAAGCCCCAGCTTTTATCAACCCAACCAGCCATGACAGCACAGCTGCAGCGGGTATTCGGCTCTTCACTGCTCACCTCCATTCAGAGCTCTTGAGCTGGGGACCATCCACCCAGCCCTGAATCTCTACAACTTGCAACACACTCTTGTCCCCCTTGGGGACTGTCCCTTGTCCCCTGCAGTAGGTGCTCCTGTGGCAGCTGAATGGAGACCCATTAGACATAGGACCCTTGGGGATTAACATACACACTGCATGCGTGCATGCGTGTGAAGTCACTTCAGTCATGTCCGACTCTTTGCGACCCCATGGACTGTAGCCCGCCAGGCTCCTCTGTCCATGGGATTCTCCAGGCAAGAATACTGGAGTGGGTGGCCATGCCTTTCTTCAGGGGATCTTCCCAACCCAACGACTGTACCTGCATCTCTTATTTCTCCTGCTTTGGCGGGTGGGTTCTTCACCACCAGTGCTACCTGGGAAGCCCAACATATACACACTACTATATATAAAATAGATAATTGACAAGGACCCACTGTATAGCACAGGGAACTCTACTGAATAGTCTGTAATAACCTATATGGGAAAAGCACCTGAAAAAGAATGGATATATATTTATATATAATTGCATCACTTTGCTATACACCTGAAACTAACACAACGCTGTAAATCACGTATACTCCAATATAAAATAAAAATGTTTTAAAAAGAAGGACTTCCCCGGTGGTCTAGCGGTTAAGAATCTGCCTGCCAATTCAGCGGACACGGGTTCGATCCCTGGTCCGGGAAGATCCCACATGCTGTGGAGCAATGAAGCCCGTGTGCCGAAACTACTGAGCCTGTGCTCTAGAGCCCCGTTCTCCACAAGTAAAGTCCCACGCACAGCAATGAAGACCCAGCACAGCCAAAAACAAATAAATAAACGAATAAATATATCTTAAAAAATTTTTAAAGAAAGGCAATAGGACCTTTGTAGTTTCCTACATTTCCAGGAACAACCCTGACCTCTCCCCTCTGGATTTTTCAGCACAGGTTGTGCCCTCTGCTGGGAACGCCCCTCTGCCCTCTTCTACATGACCACCTGTTGCTCTTCTTAGCTCTGATGGCACACCCTCCTGAGAACCACCTCCATTGACCCAGCGCTAGGGCCAAGCCCAGATGTGCACCTCCACGGAGACCTGGATTCCCGGTGACCTACCTCTGAATACTTGGGATCACACTGGCAGGGTGTGTCCCTTGATGGGAGGTTGTCTGTCTTGCTCACTACTGTTCCCTCAGCCCCTGGCTCTGAGCCTGACCCAGGGAAGGAGCTCAGGAAACAGCTTTTGAATGAATGAATGAATGATATAGTGGAAGAGCGGGGGCGGGGGTTGGCACCAGGGGGCTGGGAGGCTGGACCCAGGAGGAGAGCAGACCTTATTGTAGAGGGCACAGATGTGCAGGGCCGTGTTCCCCGAGGCGTTCTGGGCACCAGGCTCAGCTCCATAGAAAAGCAGATGTTCCAGATGCTGAGAATGACCCCGCTGGCAGGCCTGGAAAGGACCGGGGGTGAAGAGCCGGGTCAGACCCACTTGACCACAGCGTCTGTCTCTCTCCTCCACCTGGAGGTCAGGCAGCCCTGCATCCGCCACTCCCCCCGCCTTCTCCTCTGAGGCCCCATTCTCGCTTAGGGACCCACGCTGTCAACATCACCAGTCATTGCAAGGCCCGGGGCTCCAGGCTGACTCCTTAGAGTCCTGGTGGTGACAACTCTGTCCTTCCTCTTTGGGGACCATGCTACTCCCACCTCCATCCCCCGTGAGGACCCCAGCATCCACAGCCCTAGGTCCTTGGACTAGGGTCCCTGATCCCTGCCCACCCACGGGGCCCACGCGCCGCCCACGCCACCCCAACCTCTCTAGGCCGTGCAGGAGCACCTGGTGAATCTCCTGCCAGCCGTTCTCATCAGCTATGCCCAGCTGGGCCCTGTTGTACAGGAGCAGCTCACAGCAGCGGGGGTCACCCCCCACCATAGCCGTGTGGAACAGGGGAGTCAGCCCTCGGCGGTCCTTGTAGTTGGGGGAGCCCCCAAGATCCAGGAGCGCCTAGGAAAGGTTTAAAAAAAAAAAAGATGATAATCACACAAGTACTGGCTCGTTATCAAGGGCCAGTTGGACGAAGAGACCGGGTAACCCCACACGGGGTCAGAGCCAGAGCTGATGCTGCCATGATGCCCTTGAGTGACCTTGAGGCTGGCCCTTGCCCTCTCGGGGCCTCTCTCATCCTTGTGAACAACGGAGGGACTGGGGCGATGCCTCCAGAGGACCCCTCCCTCCCACTCTGAAATCCTGCCCAGCCTTCCACCATGAGCCATGAGGCATGAGCCACTGAAGGCGCATAATGCCTCAGTGCCCACCTACTCAACAGGCTGGTGTGGGGAACCAATCAAGAAGGGCGCCTGGATGCAGGAGGGCCCCTGGCTGAGTGGGAGGTGTGGTGAGGTCCGGGATCTCAAGAGGCAGAGAAAGCGGTCTGGGAGGGGGGCAGGCTCGGGTCAAGGAGACTCGGCTCAGCCTCGCTGCGACAAGGGCCTGGGGTGGGGGCAGGCAGTGGTCCCCCTGGAGACACGGATCTGGGCCTGGAAGACTGGCAGCTTCGAGCGTGTGAGGAGTGTTGGCGGCGCCAGCGCCGCGCGAACAGTCAGGAGTGGCGCAGTCCAACAGCACATTTCCAACATTTGCGGCGATGGAAATAGTTACAACCGCACGATCCAACATGGCAGCCGCGTGGGGGGCTACCGAGCCATTGGAAGGTGGCTAGTAAGCCTGAGAATCGGAAGTTTTAATTTTAGTTCATTTTCATCTATTTAAAGCTAAACAGCCCCCTTCCCCCGCCCATGGCTAGTGGCTGCTGGATTGAGCAAGCGCAGGCCTGGGAGGTAGGGGCTGGGCGTGAGCAGGAGTGGGGTTTGGGGGTATGTGTGTATGTGTAAAGTCGCTTCAGTCCTGTCTGACTCTTTTGCGACCCGTGGATTTAGCCGCCAGGCTCCTCTGTCCATGGGGATTCTCCAGGCAAGAATGCTGGAGTGGGTTGCCATTTCCTTCTCCAGGGGAACCTTCCCGACCCAGGGATGGAACCCACATCTTTTATGTCTCCTGCCTTGGCAGGAGGGTTCTTTACCATTAGAGGCACCTGGGAAGCAGGTGGCAGAAGGGGTTTGGGGGAGGGGGGGTGCATGAAGAGGGTCTGTCAATTCCAGGGCTGTACGCAGACCTTTGTGACTGGTGTCTGACTGCCTTCAGGGTTCTTCAGGAAAGGATTGGAGGAGGGGGACGGCCGGTTAGGCTGGATCATCTATGAGTTGTTGTGTTTACCAACAACTTCCGGGGCACTCTATCCTGATCTATGGATGAAGACGCATCAAGTGCCCTTGGGGAGGGGGAGAGGAAGAACATTTAAAAATAAGATTGGGTAAGCTGACTCCATGAATGTATGCGTGCATGCTCAGTCGTTCAGTGGTATCCAACTCTTTTGGGACCCTATGGACTGCGGTCCACCAGGCTCCACTATCCATGGAATTTTCCAGGCAGGAATACTGGAGTGGGTGCCACTTCCTTCTCCAGGGAATCTTCCCAACCCAAGGATTGAACCCAAGTCTCCTTCACTGCAGGAGGATTCTTTTCCTCTGAGCCACCTGGGAAGCCTCCATGTATATACACTGAGGGTGTACGAGGTTCATCTGCTTGTAAAGGCACATTTTAGGCACTATACTGGGACAGTAAGGAGATCAAACCAGTTAATCCTAAAGGAAATTAATCCTGAATATTCATTGGAAGGACTGATGCTGAAGCTGAAGCTCCAATACTTTGGTCACCTGATGCAAAGAGCTGACTCATTGGAAAAGATCCTGATGCTGGGAAAGATTAAGGGCAGGAGAAGAAGGGGGGGACAGGATGAGATGGTTGGATGGCATCACTGACGCAATGGACATGAGTTTAAGCAAACTCTGGGAGGTAATGAAGGACAGGGAGCCTGGCGTGCTGCCGTCCATGGGTTGCAAGGAGTTGGACACGACTGAGCAGCTGAACAACATCTGGAGGAGAGGGCTGTATTTCAGGTGAGCGGAGGTGGGGTACTGGGACTGTGAGCTGTAGGTTGAGAAGAGTGAATGGAAGGGCTGAGTTGGGAAGTGGGAGGACTAGTGTCTGAGGGAGCAGATGGAGGGACAGTGTCTGGGGGCACGGTGGGGAGCTCATTCTGTATTTTAAAGGGCACCAGGGACTTCCCTGGTGGTTAAGACCCTGCACGTCCAGTGCAGGGGGCACGGGATCAATCCCTGGTCGGGGAACTAAGATCCCACATGCCGTGCCATGCGGCCCAAAAATAAAAAAATAAAGGGTACCAGCAAGAGTCTACATCACGGGGAGACAGAGGTAGTTGTCGGCTGCTGGCTCAGTGGGGCTGGAGAAGTTCTGGGTGTCAGGAAGTTGACACGATCTACCTGGGGACAGGGCAAGGGTCCGTGTGACCATCAACTATAGCTGATCACCAGCCTTGAGCTGGGGAGGGTGGGGGCTCATGGATGTTCCAGGAGGGTCTTGGGTGCAGTCAGAGGAGTGACTGTGGAGGAGGGAGGTGGACAGAGCGGCTGGGGGGATTGGCTGGACGCAGTCTGGGCGAGGAACACGGTCACTCGGGGGTGTCTCTGGGCTCAGGGGAGGGTCCCAGGAGGATCTGAAACCTCACCGTCAGAGCGAGGCAGTGGCGGGCACAGGCAGCCTTGTGTAGCGCGGTCATGCCATCCCGGGCCCGGAAGTCGATGTGCGCCCCGCCCAGGCACAGGGTTCGAATCACCTCTACGGAGCCTTCGGTCTGGGCAGCCAGCGTCAGGGGGGTCTCTGGGAGGCAGGGGGAAAGGCCAGTCACGTGCAGCCCCTGGGCCTTGTGGTCCCCGACTCCCCAGCCCTCCCAAAGCACCCCGTCCCGCCGCCCGCTCCCTACCTCCTGAATCCGAGTCGTGATAATTGGGGTCCAGCCCCTTGTCCAGCAGCCGTGCCACCTTATCGGATGTCCCGAGCTGCACGTACTCCAGGAACTTCTTCAACCCCGTCTGAGCCGCAGACGAGAGAGAGAGAGAGAGAGAGAGAGAGAGAGGCGGTCAGGGAGGAAGGGGGCAAAGCTGGGTTTGGAGCAGCGCCGTCCAGTGGAATCACACAGTGAGCCACACATGCCATTGAAAAGTCCCCAGTAGCCACCACTTTTTTAAAGGAAGAAGACCTTCCAATTATATTGAAATTCACTTTGACGACCTATCTATTTCTAGTCTATCCTATATAGCCACAATATTACTGATTCAACAGGTAATCCACGTGAAATTTATTCCTGAGATACTTTCAGGGGTACTGAGTCTTTGAGATTGGGTGTATATTTCACACTCACAGTGAGGCTCAGTTTGGACCTGGTACACCGCAGGTACCCGGGGGGCTGTATGTGGCTGGTGGCTCCCGCAGATGGTACAGGTCTGGATGGATGGACTGCTCGGAGGAGGACAGAGACAAGTGGATGGTGGGGTGGGGGTGAGGATAAGAAGCAGCCAGGGAGCTTTCCTCCCAAGTGTCAAGGATCGTTCACTTCACTTTTGAACGAAGCAGCCCCCTGACTTAGTCCCAGCTTTCAGGGGACCAGAGGAGACGCAGGGGACATACAGTCTGAGGACTGGAGGGCAAGGTGTGTGAGTGCATACTTGGGCAGTAAGTTGCGTCCAACTCTTTGCGACCCTATGGACAGTAGTCCACCAGGCTCCTCTGTCCATGGGGCTCTCCAGGCAAGAACACTGGAGTGGCTCCTGGAGGAGCCATTTCCTCCTCCAGGGGATCTTCCCGACCCAGGGATCAAACCTGTGCCCCCTGAATTGTCAGGCAGATTCTTTATCACTGAGCCACCAGGGAAGCCCCAGAGAGTAAGATGCCGGGAGGATAAATGGCTGTGGAGGAGCGCATCCTTGGATCCGGTAGAGATTCAGGCTCTGGGATTGTGTGAACTGCAGGGTGTCTATGAAACTGCCCCTAGGCAGAGAGACACTAGATACCAGAGTCGCAGGCCACATTGGCAGGCAGGGGGAGGGGGAGGGGGTTGTGGTTCCTGTATGGATATAGGGGCCCCAGGAGAGGGGAGAATCCAAGGATGAAGAAAGTGGGAGCCAGGTGGAAATGGCACGTGCCTGGGCAGAGGCACAAAGAGAGAAGATGAGAAAGGCTATGATGTATGCTGGAGGGGAGAAGGGATAGTTAAGGAAGTTAAGGATAGAAGTTAAGAAGTTAAGGATAGTTTGGAAAGGTCCTGTACACATTGTTGTATTTAAAATGGATAGCCAATAAGGATGTACTGTATAGCACATGGAACTCTGCTCAACATTATGTGCCAGCCTGGATGGGAGAGGAGTTTGGGGGAGAATGGATACACGTATATGTATGGCTGAGTCCCTCCCCTGTTCACCTGAGACTACCCCAGCATTGTTAATTGTCGGTACTCCAACACAAAATAAATTTTTTTTTTTTATAAAAGGCTGTGATGGAGTCATCAGGTGCATTTGAGGTTGTCCCAAATACGACACAGCATCCCAAGTTAAGTGGGGGATGCTGGCAGAAGAAAAGAAGGTTTGGAGGGTTGTCGGGAAGAGGTAGGAGAGAAAGTGGTTAGGGAAGGGGGCTCCAGGTTGGGGGTGGTATAAGTACCAGCAGGGTTCTCTCACCTTCGTGTGCAACTTGGCCAGCTGCTTCTCATCCAGGTTGGTCTGCTTGTAAACACGGGTCTTGTATCGGAACTGAGGCCAGGAGTGGGGTGACGGGAGAGACAAAAGACTCGGAGTCAGGGGTCTGGACTTCTTCTGAGCCAGGAAAGAGTCAGTGCAGGGTCAGGACGAAAAATAGCCCCCGAGTCTTGGCTGGGTGGACAGAGGGCTGCTGGACCACTGCGGACTGTGGACTGCACCCCCTAAGGTGTCTGGACCCCGCAGGGAATGTTCCAGAATAACGACTGTCATTGGGAGCCATTTCCCACTTTGATAGGCCAGGGGAGACTTGGGGCTGGGAAATGACTCATGCAAGGCCACTCTGCCTGCCGGTCAGAGGCAGGAATGCCATGCTAATTTGAACTCGGGCCTCCCTGACTCTGATTCTTAAGTGAAAGTGTTCAGTCACTCAGTCGTGTCCGACTCTTTGTGACCCCAACAGACTGTAGCCCGCCAGGCTCCTCAGTCAATGGAATTCTCCAGGCAAGAATACTGGAGTGGGTGGCCATTCCCTCTCCAGGAGATCTTCCCAACCCAGGGGTGTCTCCTGCATTGCAGGTGGGTTCTGTACCCTCTGAGCCACCAGGGAAGCCCCGGGATTCTTAGGGTGCCCTTTATATCCAGAAGAGCCCACGGGCTTTCCCTCGCTGAGGTCTGGGCTGGGTGAAGAAATGGGGAGCGGGCCGACGCCTGCTCGCATCTGTGAAGGGGCTGGGAAGGCTGTGGGGGTCTCACCTCCAGGTAGGGCACCCCCTTCTCGAAGGACTGGGGGTACTCCCGCAGCAGCCGCTCTTCCTCCAGGAAGTTGGCGTCCCGGCCCGAGGTGGCTGGCTGAAACAGGCCATAGTTGAGCACGTCCTGGAGGCTCTCGCTCAGGGCGCAGAGCACCTGCTGCTTGGCGGTCCAGATGGTGGCATCCGGGTTGAAGCGCAGGCATTTCTGGTGGGGGAGGCACCAGGAGAGAGAGAAGGGGCCTGAGCAGGTCTGCGGAGGGCTGTGGGTGATCCCCGGGACAGAGGAGGGCTGGGGGGAAACCCATGGGGGTCTGGCAGTGGGGGCCATGTGTGAGGTCATCCAGAACCAGAGGCCCCATTCCCTTCCCCGCTCCCCATGCAGACTCTGGTGGTCCCTATCTCCCGCCCCCCATCCGCCAGCCAGCGGGCTGTGGCTCACTGTCTGGTGGAGGTCAGGGATGCCGATCCTAAAAACCATCATGCTGAAGTGGGCGTCGTCTGGGACGGACATGGAGCGGCCCTGGAGGCCTCGGATGGAGGCCAGGCTACCAGCTGCACCGCTGCCCCGGCCCCGGGTCCCCCGGGGGCCTCTCCCAGGCCCGTCTGGGGAGCTGTCGGACTCTGAGCCCCCCTCGGGACACTCGCTGGCACTGTGGCGTTCCTCGTCCTCGCTTGACGCGGGGCTGTGGGTCATCGTGGGGCCACGGGGCGACGGGGGACGGCAGCATCACAGGCGGCTGGCAGGGGAGGGGGCGGGGGTGGCGGTCAGACCAGGAGCCCGGGCTCTGAGGCCACGGGCGCACTCAGTGGACAAACACGGTCCAGGCCAGTGGCTCCAAGCCGCCCGAGGGAGGCCGGCAGGAGGCTGGACACACCCCCAGACACTCCTACCGCCTCCAAGCTCTCTCCCGAGCTCTCTCTCTCGGGCACACACACCCCCCCAGCCCTGCCATGCTGCCTGCACGTGTCTCCTTCCCTGCCCTTGGCCTTGCTTGCGGCCCCCCGCCCCTCCTGCGCCCCACTTTGCCGCTGACCCAGCGCGCCGGTGTCCCAGAAACCGCAGAATCACCGCGGGAGCCGCTGGCCCACTTTGCCAGGCCAGGGATAATGCAGCTAAAATTAGCCCAGGACAGACAGGTGGGCGACCCACCGGCACCCTGCCCCCCTGGCCCCAGCCTGGCCCCTCCTCACCCAAGGTCCTCCCCGCCTTCTGCTCCCGGGATGACCGCGAGGAGGCTGAGATGTAGTAAGGGGGAGAGGGAGGTGCCCTGAGCCTAGGGTGGAGCCGGTGACTTCACTGAAGTGTGGCTGACCGCGTGTGTGCGGAGGGCTGCTGGAGAGCCAGCATCCCAGGGGGCAGGGGCACCCGGCCGGGGGAGTCACCGGGCAGAGGGTACCACGCATGAGGTGTCCCCTGGGGGAACCACAAGAGGTGGCCTATGCAACTTTCCAGGAGGCATCTTGAGAGGGAGGGTGGGTGGGTGGGGAGACTGGCCCTGGGGGGGCTGTCTGGGTGACAGCCTTGCCGTGGCCTGGGTGGGTGTAGGGTGGCGGTAGGTGACCTGCGGGTGTGTCCGAGGCCTGGCGCTGGCTGGGTGGGAGGAATGGCATTGCCTGGTCCTGGGGGCTCCACTCTGAGGGAGACTGGGGGCTGGGAGGGAGGCTAAGGAGTGGGATGAGAGTCTGGGGAGCGGGGGTGAGATCCCCACTATTCTTCAGATCCCACTATTCTTCGCCCCTGAATTGATCTTATAAGGGTGAGTCCAGATGGGGCCCTTCTTCTCCGTTTTCTCCCCCCCTCCCACCTCAGCACCGGAAACCAGAATGTCTGGTCTGGTCCCTCCCCCCCACACCAGGCCCGGCTCCTGCACGTTGCCATGGAGATGGGAAGCAGTGGAGGGTACTGCTGACTTTGGGGGAGTGGGGATGGGCTGGGGGGGGGGTTGGGGAGAGAAGACAAAATGTGTGCGGGGGGGGGTAGGAGGAGAGTTTCAAGAACTGTGGGCTGGCCACCCCTCCCCCAAGCGTGGCCACGGCCCCTCCCCCTCTGGGTACCCATCAGAGCCTCCCCTACTTGGCCCCGGCGGAGACCCCCGGGCTTCTCCTACGGGGCGACTCCACTCCCACCTCCAGACCTCGGGCTGGCAGCCACTCCCCCTTGGCTGACCCTGGCTGACCCCCTCCCCCAGCCTCCACGGGCACTCATGGGGTGGCCAGTGGCCCTGAAAGCAAAGCTCTCCCGGTCCCCCGGCGCGTGCGGCTGCCCCCAACCCCCAGGACCAGCTCGGGCCCCTCCCCCTCAAGCCCCGAGGGAGGGAGCGGGCACACTCCGCCGGGGCGGCATGAATCAAACGCTCCGCGGCTAAGAATAGCTGGCACGCAGCTGGTACCGAGACGGGCTGAGGAATCGGCGGGGGGGGGGGGGGGCGAAGAAAGGGGAGAGAGGGGGTGCCCTGGGAGGCTGCGGGGGTACGGCGGGGGGAGGCTGCCGGCGTGGCCGGGAGCCGGCCCGGGAGAATGAATGGAGGCGGAGAGAGGCGGGGAGAGGCGGGCAGAGGGAGCCCCGGCTGGGGCCGAGAAGCTGGTGGGGGAGAGCCCGGGTCCGCGGAGAGGGGGCGGAGGCCCCCGGGAGCAGGACTCGGGGGCGGGAGCCGAGGGGGCGCGCCGGCCGGTGGGGAAGGAAGCGGGGACCGGGTGGGGATGCAGGGAGCTCGTGAAAGGGTGGGAGGGGATTGGCCAAGTCTGGAAGGAGAAGCCGAAGCCACAGGGGGTCGAAAGGGGCGGCCGAGGCCAAGGCCCGGACCCCCGCTGGAGGGGGTGGGCGCCGGAATGACCTCGGCGAGGGGTCTCGAGGGGTGGGGCCGCAGGAGGGGTCCAGGGAGCCCAGGTGGGCCGCGATGGGCGAGGCGGGGGAGTGGCCGGGCCGGGCCGGGCCGGGAGGCGGGTACCGCGACTGAGCCCTCGGCCCTGGAGCGCGGGAGGCGGGTTCGGGCAGGGGGCCACGGGGCCGCATGTCCCCAGCAAGTCCGCGATCCGGGACGGGGCACTGGGGACCCGGGCGTAACCCAATTTGGCGTCGCCCAGGGCAACGCTCCCCTCCAAACCCCCGCCCCCCACCGCACACCCGGGCCGGGAGCCCGGCGCTTGGCCAAGGACGTCCCGGGCGCCCCCGCCCCCGCCCGCGGCCCCGGGCCCGCGCTTCCCACCCCCCCGCACCCAGACCCCCGGTTTTCGGCCCCCTTACCTGCCTGGCGGGGCTGCTGAGTCCCGGTCGGCGGCGCCCGCGGCCCCTCCCCCCTCCCCCCACCCCCCACCCCCCCGGAGACGGGGGACCCTCAGGCCATGCCCCACCGCCCCGGAGGGCGAGCGGGCCCGGGGAGGGGGCGGGCGGGGGCCGGGGGGGCGGGCGGGGGGCCCGCGGACCTCACCCCCCCCGCGGGCCGGGCCTGGCCATCCGCAGAGCGCCCCCCCTTGCGCCGCGGCCGCCGCGCCCCTCCTAGCTAGCCCGCCCCCGGCTCGGTCCGGCCGGCTCCGGGCGCCGCGTCTCCGCCGGCTCCTCTCCTCGGCCTCAGGCCGCTGCCGCCGCCGCCGCCGCCGCCGCCGCCGCCCGCTCCGCGCCTCCTCTGCCTCCCGGCTCGCTCTCTCGCTCTCGCTGTCTCTCCCTCACCCGGTCTCTCTCTCTCTCTCCCTCCCTCTCTCCCTCCCTCCGCCCTCTCCCCTCCCTCCGGGAGCCGGCGGAGGAGACATCGCCCCTCCCCGCGCCCCCAAACCTCGCCCATCCCCCCCACGCCGGCTCCGCCCCCTCCCCTGCCCTCCCCCACCGCTCCTCTCCGCCGCCAGATCCCCGAACCCTGACTCCACTCCTGCTTGCCCCAGTACCCCGGCGATGGGGCTCCGCCCCCCAAGGGTACCTCTCCCCGCACCCCCCAGGACCGCCCCTTCCCAGAGAGCCCCCACCTCCTCTACACACAGTAGGGTGCAATTAAATATTCGTTGCTAGACTCTACACCCCCAAATTGGATGGTGAGAGCTATAGATTCCTGTCCTGTCCCCCCAACATACACACACACACACACACACACACACACACACACCTTCCCGCAAGGCACAGGTGCAGCGAGCCGCTCCCCAGCCCTGCCCCTGCAGACGTCTCCACAAACACATCTTCTCCAGAGCTTGCGGGGCTCTTGCAGGATACATTACCATGAGCACAGCCAGCTACATCATGTACATATCACACCCGTGTGCCGGAGCATGCACACGGCAGAGCACACGCGTCTACCCACCCCACACACACGGGCACGCAGCCCGCTGTGCTTGCTCAGAACTCCAGCTCACACGCAACCCTGAAACAGAGACACAGAACCACAGGCAGACGTGTGCTTTGCCTCTGTCACAGTCACCCACCATGGCCTGGCCGTCCATCACACAGGTGTGCACACACCTGTTTAGTGGCACGACCCTGCACCATCACCTCCTTCCTGATAATTATCTCTGACATTTCTTGAGCACTTCCTTTGTGCCTGGTTCTGTCTGGGTTTACTCCTCAACTTTGCACACCGCAGTCCTCTGGCTACGGACTTGCATCATCCTCATTTACCAGAGGGGGGAAACTGAGGCCCAGAGAGGTTAAGGAATGTGCCCAAGCTCGCCCAGCCCGCAAGAGGTGGTGGCCAGGATCAGACAGGCGGCCTGACTCAAAATCTTCAGACTGCTGTGTGCTGGGGTTCAGTACTGGGCACTCCATAGCTGTATATCCTTCTTCGTCACACACAATCCCCCCAGCCATCTCTGCATGGCGCGTGGGACACACCCGCAGAGACAGGGCCGATCCCATAGGGCAGCAGTGAGTGCGTGGCCGCAGCCCAGGCCCCTACCCTTCTCCCAGCTCCAACAGCTCCTCCGGGGCCACCAGCCAGAGCCCAGGCACCTGCGGAGGGCAGTTCCAGGCAGCCTCTGGGTGCGCGTCCTGCTGCAGGCTCTGGGGTGCCAGGGGATGAGCTGGAGCAGGTGCCGGCCCAGCTGCCCCAGGAGGCCCGGTTCTGGCTTCACCCCCACCAGCCCAGGTGGTGAGCAGCTGGGCCTGGGGAGAAAACAGCTGCCTGTGTGTGTCAGCACCAGCAGTGAGAGGGGCTGTGTACCCTTTCTACAGTTGATGAGGCTTTTCTGGGCCTGGGCATCAGCTCTCGGTGAGGGGTCCCCAGGCCCCTCATGGGCACCTAAGAGAGGCCGGAGCTCTGAGGCAGCGGGCAGCCTGCCCAAGGTCACACTGCCCTTTGCTTTCTTGGAAAATGGAAAAGTCTGGCTGTGTTGATTTCCAAGGCCCCATCCTGGGGCTCCCTGCAGCTGAGGGTGAATGCCCTGCTCATGCTGGGAGCCAGAAGCTTCTGCTAGCTGCCGCTGCGGCGCTGGTAACCTCCAGCAGGCCCAGCTGTCCCCTCTCTGAGCCTCGGTGTCCCCCCTGGAAGAGTGGGCCCTGTGATCCTGGCACCGCCCGCCTGGCTGAAGCTGGGGAAGCCCTACATGACTCACGGGTCTGGCATGGAGTGGGCATGGCCAGCCTCCTGCTTCTCCTGCCTCTGCGGCCTCTCTGCCACTGCCCTCATCACCTCTACCCCGGTCACCAGGCCCCCACCCACCCACCCCCAGGGCCACAGGAAACTCGAGTTTCCACTGAAACACAACTATGCAGGTTTCAGTCTTTTCGCTGAGCTGCGGCCCCGCTGCCAGGGAAGGCTCCTTTCCTTGTTCAATTGACTGAGTACCTACTATGCGCTGGGTTGGCCCTGTCCTAGCTCCGAGGATATGGCCATGAACAGGGATACCTGCCTTCATTGGCGAGAGGCAGACACCAAACATGTAAACAAGCCAACAAGGCAAAGTTGGTCTTGATTCAACCAAAAAGATAAAAGGGGGTGTTTGAATAAACTACCGGGGGAAGGCCTCTCTGAGCTGAGACCTCAGTGATGAGAAGGAGCTGGGGGGAAGAGCCTTCTAGAAGGAGGAAAAGGCTGGTGCAAAAGCTCTGAAGCGGGAAGGAGCTTAGCATTCAGGAAGTAGTGAAGAGATCAGTGTGGCTGGAGCTTGGAGGGAGGTGGTGAAGGGAGTAGGGGTGATGAGTTTGCAGAGGTGCAAAGGATCCACCCTTCCCCGCCCACCCCCAGGCTGGGCAGGCCAAGCCTGTGCTGAGGCCAGGGTTTGGCTTCACTCCCGCACATGATGGGAAGCTTGGGGGGGGGGAGCAGGGGAGTGGGGAGTGATGTGATCTGATTTACGGTTTGGAAGCATTGCTCTGGCTGCGGCAGGCTGCGTGTATTGGAGGGGCTCGGGAGGAAGGAGGGGGAGAGGCAGGAGGAGAGGACTGCAGTGGTCCAGGAGGGAGATGAAGTAGCTCTCAATGCTCAGAGCTCTCTGTGCACCCAGCCCAGCAGCTGCTTATTCCATCTCCTGGAGAAAACTTCTCGGACCCCACCCAACCTCCACCCTCCCCTCTGCCCCAGTCCCTCACCCCATGGGGCTGTCTGTGGGGTCTGTGAACAGCTGGAATCCCCCGTGTCACCCCAACCCAGGATCTAGACTGCAGGAGGCTTCCAGGAAAGCGTGGCAGATGGATCCAAGAACCCCACCTTTCTGGGGGCTGCACACAAGCCACACATGTGCTCTTTGCATGGATCCCCACAGACAGGCACAGATACTCAGCTGGATCTGGGGCAAGGACCCGGAGGGCAGGATGGGAGATCTGGGGGGCAGGAGGCGCTCTAGAGCCCGAGAATGCCGTGAGAGCCTCCTTCTGCAGGGTGGGTGGGCGACGGTGGACACAGGATAATAACAACCTCAGCAAGACCTTGAGGTCTCTCCTGACCTGAGGCGTGGCCAGGGAGTGGAAAGGGAAGCGGGGCCAAGCCCTGACAATTCCCCAAGGAGGTTCCTGGGCAGAGGCTGAGCCCCCAGGATCCCTTGGGGAGCTGGCTCCATCCTCCTCCTGACCTTCTGGAGCTTCTGGCCGAGGCAGAAGGGAAGAGCAGGACAGGACGGAAGCAAGCTCTGGAAAGTGGGAAGAGGAGGGCGTGTGTGGAGACCCAAGGCGGGATCCAAGCTTTGGAACGCTGGAGGTTTCCGGCCACAGAGGCAGGGCCTCCAGGGAGCCAAGAGAGGCGGGGAGAGACACACACAGAGGAGCAGAGACCAACGGACCGAGACAAGAGTTGGGAGGAGAGGGACCAAAGAGAAGCTGGGAGAGGCGCGGACCAGGGGGCTGGTGATCAGCATACACTCCGGGTCCCCAGAAACATCCTTCTCCTCTGAGACACACCCTTCTGCAGCCTTGGGTGCTCCGAGCCCAGCCTGATGCGGGCCGCCTGGCTCCTCGGCGCGCTGGTGGTACCCCAGCTCCTGGGCTTCAGTCATGGAGCTCGGGGAGCTGAGAGGGAGTGGGAGGGGGGCTGGGGTGGCGCCCAGGAGGAGGAGCGGGAGAGGGAGGCCCTGATGCTGAAGGTGAGTTGGAGACTGCTGGGACTCTAGTGGCGGGACCCGGGAGGGCAACTGTGGGCTTGGGAGGGGTGTATTCCAGGGTTAGAAAAATGGGCAACAGAAGGGATGGGATAGGCTTGGAGGAGGATGAAGGTGATGGGTTCAGACAGCGAGCTGACACCTGGAAAGGGGAGTCTGGGGAATCAGGATGTAGCTGCCAGCCTGGCCCTGATCACCCTCCCTGCCTTAGCATTTACAGGAAGCGCTGGGGCTGCCTGCTAGGAGGGGAGATCAAAATCCCGAGGGAAACTCTGAAGGCAGGGGGGCCTGGGCGACCGAGGAGGACGGGCAGGGGGAGGAAGGCGAGGAGGAACCCACACCGACCCCCTACGTCAGCCCCAGTCCCTCTCCCACCCCGGAGGACGCCATCACTTATATCCGTAAGTAATCCTTAGCTCCGCCCTGCCCCCCTGGTCTCCGTGGTCATTTTCACAAAAACGCACCGTCCTTTCCCAGCCCCAGGATTTTTCAGTTGCCCACCGCCCAGCTCGGAGCCCTCACACCCAGGAGCTCCGGGTCCCCGACTTTGCCTCTCAAGAGACCGGGGTGGCCACCGGCCCCTACCTTCCAGAAGTCTTGAGAGCCCCCACCCCTCACCCCAACTCCGCCCTAGAAGCCGTAGGTCCCGGGTCCCCCCCAGGTCCTCCGGTCCCCTGGTTCCCCCACCCCCCCCGCCAGGGTCCCCGTCCAGCGTGCGCCCTGTCCACCCGCAGTGGGTCGCCTGGCCGGCCTGGACGCAGGCCTGCACCAGGTGCACGTCCGTCTGCACGCGCTGGACACCCGCGTGGCCGAGCTTACTCGGGGGCTGCGGCAGCTGAGGGAAGTGGCGGGCGACACCCGCGACGCCGTGCAAGCCCTGCAGGAGGCGCAGAGCCGCGCCGAGCGCGAGTATGGCCGCTTAGAGGGTGAGTCGCATCCCGCCGGGCGGGGAAGGAGGGACGATCCGGGTCAGGCCGCGGACCGGTGGGGAGAGGGGAGCCCTGAAGGGTGTCTGAGACGTGAGGACCCTAGGTGTCAGGGGCGAGGGGGGGCGGCCCTGGAGGATTTGGGGTGTGCTGGCTGATGGGGAGGGTGAACGCGGGGACGGGCACGCTCCCCACAGTGTTAGTGAGCCGACCCTGCTCCGGCCGCACCACGCCCCCTACGATCCTGCCCCCATAGCCTGGCCACGCCCCCGGAGGCTCTGTCACTGGCTCCGGGCGGCTCTGGCCCCGCCCTCTCCCCGCCTCCGAGGCCCTAATCCCGCCTCCGCTCGGCCCCGCCCCGCCCCGCCCGCAGGCTGCCTGAAGGGGGCGCGTCTTGGCCACAAGTGCTTCCTGCTCTCGCGCGACTTCGAGGCTCAGGCTGCGGCGCAGGCGCGGTGCGTGGCGCGGGGCGGGAGCCTGGCTCAGCCCGCTGACAGTCGGCAGATGGAGACGCTCACCCGCTACCTGCGCGCGGCGCTCGCCCCCTACAACTGGCCGGTGTGGCTGGGTGTGCACGACCGGCGCGCCGAGGGCCTCTACCTCTTTGAGAACGGCCAGCGCGTATCCTTCTTCGCCTGGCACCGCGCCCCCAGCCCTGAGCCCGGCTCCCGGCCCAGCGCCGCGCCGCACCCGCTCAGCCCCAACCAGCCCAATGGCGGCGTGCTCGAGAACTGCGTGGCTCAGGCCTCGGACGATGGCTCCTGGTGGGACCACGACTGCGATCGGCGCCTCTACTACGTCTGCGAGTTCCCCTATTAGCGGGGCCGGCTCCCCGCCTCTCCACTGCGCCCCACCACCCGCCCTGTGCCTGGGCTGTGCTCCCCGCAAAGACACCGTTCCTTCCTTCCTTGCCCGCGGATGGAAATGAGTTTTCCCTGGCTGGCCGATCCTTGGGGGACTCCTGCGGGGCCGGGACCCCTTCCTTGCCTGTCTTTCCTGGAAGCGGTAGGCACAAGGCTAGGTTCCGCGCCAATAAAGCGCTGAGGAATCTCACTTGAACAGGCAGTGGAGGCACTTTTGGCCTTTTATTTGGCAAGGCCCTGTCCCCCTCTTACAGGTATTACTCGAGCCCGAGATCAGAGTGATAGAGAATACATGTGCATACGTACACACGGTCATCTGCTCCTGCGCACAGATTTCTGGAGTACACGAACGCACACGCTGCTGACACCTCCCCCCGCATCGTGCCCCGTACTCAAGGTCTTTGGGACCCAGAGCCTGTCAGTCATTGTCCCAGGCCTTGACCTTGGCCTTGGCCCTGATCAAAGAGATCTGGGAAGCACAAAGGAGCTAAAGGCTCTGACAAGTCCTGCAGGAAAGACACCCATTTAATTTTTTTTTCTTTTTTTTTAAGTGGGTCTCAAACCTGACTCATCAGATGGTACCATAATGTCATGTAAAGTCAGGCACTGCCCTACTCCCTTCCCCTTCCTCCAACTCCAGGGCCTGTGTTTAGACACAAGCATAAGGACATACCCAGCCTGGAAGCTTAGGTTCCCTCCCAGCTGATCCCTCCACTCCTTGACTTTGAAGCCATGAGCTAATCCCTCCCTGCTATGAGCCTCAGTTTCCTCATCTGAACACAGACACTATTACCCCTACCTTGTATGTCTCTTAGGATGTTCACGTGAGCCCAAGAAAGTGAGCATTTGGGAAATGGTGGTGCGTAAGGCACATATTACATTTTCTTTTCCCCCACCATTTTTCATACCTTAATCCCCTGGAGCAGTGAGGACATCCAGGCCCAGCTTGGGCCTCAGCACTCTGGACAGCACTCTTTGGAGCAAGAACTCTTGGAAACACCCACCCAGTGTCTCCCCACGTACCAGCATTATGGTATTCTGACCCTGATACCATCATGGAGCCCAGGAATTGGGTGTGACCCAATTCTGTCTTTACATCTGTGTCCCTTCCCCTTTGTCAGCCATGATACCTCCCGCCTAAAGTGTCACCACTGGCTCCTCCAGTGGGAGGAACGAGCCACTGTGTCATCTCCAGAAGTGGGGGGAGGGAGCACAAGCTACCCATTCCCTTTAAGAGTCATTTCCCAGCCCCACCGCCCCCATAGGAGTCACAGAAGCAGGGGTGGCTTCTGGTCAGGAAGACTTCCATCAGGAGACTGAAGACTTTGCCCCAAATTCATCCCCCTCTAAGCTTGTTTCCCAGAGTCACAGTAGGGCCGTGGGATGTGTTATAGAACATCAAAGGGCAGATGAGGCAGATGACAATTACTATCTGCTGTTACCTGGGAGAGCTCTATCCTCACAGACCTGACATTCTGGGAAGTCAGTGGATGGGACAGTTCAGTGGTTACCTGCCTAGATTCTGGAGCCAGATGGCCCAGGTTCTAATTCTTCCTTGGCCACTTACCTACTATGTAACTTGAGTGAGACATAACTTTGCTGTCCCTCAGTGTCCCCATCTGTACAATGGGGATAATAAGATCTACATTCTAGAATAGTGCCAGACACAGAGGGGTCTTTGCAGCAGGGGCTCTGGTCCTCAGTTGGCTATTTTAACCTCACCTTCACCTCTGCTTGCTCTCTCCAGACACTGTCTCTGTATATGCAAATGTCTTTCCAAGAAGTGGCTAATGAGTCACCGCCCCCCTAGCATCCCTTCCCAGCAGCATTAGATGCTGCCTTAGGTGTTCCAGAACTGAGCCCTAATCAGCCATACTGGGGATTCCTGTGGGGCAGAACTGGTATAACTAATTCCCTGTCCCCAGCACCCCAGGCATGACAGTTCTTTGAATGAAGGAAGATGCCCGTGTGAAGCTACGGTGGGAACCCTGAGATGAATTTCTAACTGCTTCTCTTTCTCCTTGGTGGCCTGCAGGCCTCAGCCAGGCGCTTCTCCTGGGCTCCCAGTGGATCAGGGGCTGTCCTCATCACAACTTTCATCACTCTAGGTGCCGTTGCTTGGTCAGTGTCTGTCATACCAGTCCAGAGACAGAGTTGTGTACACAGAGACGGCCAAGGTTGGGAGTGGAGGGCATTTGCAAGGACTATTTATGCATCAGATCAGCTAACCTGTATGTTTCGCTCTGGGCTGATTCTGGACTCAGCTCTGCACAGGGGAACCCTGTCACTTCCTCCAAGAAGCCCTCCCAGGCCTCTCAAGAGCCCAGAGTCTGCCAGTGCCACCTCCCTGGCTCACCGTGGAGCACCTGCAGTTTGAGAGCTTGGAGCCACGGACCAGAGACGGCCCAGCAGGTGGTTGGGATTGATGAGTTAAGGGATTCCAGAGAAACGGTGGAGGAAGGGCACAAACCTGAGATACCCCATCCTGAAGAAAAAGAAGCAGGCCTACACGGGACTACAAATCCCAGCAGGCTGACCGGCAGGCCTGCCCAGAACCACATTCCTAGAAGCCATCAGGCGGTTCTTGCAAAGCCTCTGGCAAGCTCCTTTCCCTCCTCCAACGTGAAGATTGCCTACATTCCCTAGGCTAGAGGACCACACCCAGTCTCCAATCAGAGCTCAGATCCCGACTCCCCACCCACTGGACCTCGCCCCGAGGTAGTTTGGGAAATGTAGTCTGGTCCCGAGTCAACGGGTAGGAAAACCCGATTTGGCAAAGCGTAACATTCCATTCCAGAGAAGGCAATGGCAACCTACTCCAGTACTCTTGCCTGGAAAATCCCATGGGCAGAGAAGCCTGGTAGGCTGTAGACCCCCCATGGGGTCCCGGAGAGTCGGGCACGACTGAGCGACTTCCCTTTCACTTTTCACTTTCATGCATTGGAGAAGGAAATGGCAGCCCACTCCAGTGTTCTTGCCTGGAGAATCCCAGGGACGGCGGAGCCTGGTGGGCTGCCGTCTATTGGGTCGCACAGAGTCGGACATGACTGAAGCGACTTAGCAGCAGCAGCAGCAGCAGCAGCAATATTCATTAGACTTAGAATGTAGTGGGCGCTAAGATCTTTCCCGCGAGAGTTTTTTCAAAATACGGATGAATTTCCAACGGTGTATCATTACCATTCTTTAAAAAGCGAAATCAATTCATAGAAAATATCAAAATTCAGAGAAAATGGAAATAAACAGTTCTCAAAATTCGAGTTCTTGAGGTTGTATTGTATTACAATATAAGACTCAACATAAAAATTCTTCCTTTGCCTGCTAAAGATCTGATAAACACTAGTCCAAACCAATTTAGCCTGTTTTAAAAGAATCAAAGCTTTTTATTTGGAAATAGTTTCAGACTTACAAATAATCTGCACAAACACAAATAGTATTTTGTATTTGCATACACCATTTACCCAGATGTATTTATTGTTAACAGTTCATCCCGTTGCTTTAGCTTTATCATCATCAATCTGTTTTCGACCTGAAAACATAAAATATCCAATTATTTTGCCAGCAAAATGAGTTTATGTGGGAATCGCAGAAGAATTCAATTTGGAACAAGAAAGCTGGGGTGAACAAGTCTGAAGAGGTGACGAACTAGTCAGCTTTTATTAGGGTTCGGGAGAAAACTGGGGAGGATTGTGTTATTATTTATTTATTTATTTTTAATTGAAAGATAATTGCTTTATAGAATTTTGTTGTTTTCTGTCAAACCTCAACATGCATCAGCCATAGGTATATGTATGTCTACTCCCTCTTGAACCTCCCTTCCACCTCCCTCCCCATCCCACCCCTCTAGGTTGATACAGGTCCCCGGTTTGAGTTTCCTGAGTCATACACCTGTTGGCTATCTGTTTTACATATGGTAATGTAAGTTTCCATGTTACTTTCTCCATACATCTCACTCTCTCCTCGCCTCTCCCCAGGTTCATAGATCTGTTCTCTACGTCTATTTGGGAGGATTGTTTTGAATAAAAGTTCACTGGAGAAGAACAAGAGTTTGGGATGGTGGTGGTTTCTTGTTGACTGCAAACAGGGGTTAGTGCACTGTTCCTAGGGCAAGGAGGGACCCTCCTCCCTCTTCTTAAAATCAGGAGATGAAATTCTTATGTGAAAATATGTCCTCTCTCCTGTCCCAGGAGGAAAAATCTAATATTCTTGATCATCGTAAATAAGAAGTTGAGGGACTTACCTGGTGGTCTAGTGGCTAAGACTGCTGCTCCCAATGCAGGGGGCCTGGGTTCAATCCCTCATCAGGGTACTAGATCCTGCATGCCGCATCTAATGATCCCACATGCTGTGAAGAAGATTGCGCATCCCATGGGCTGCCACTGAGACTGGCACAGCCACATAAATAAATAAAAAAGAAGCTGTGACTGAGAGAATTTTACACTAAGAATTTTATGTAAATAGACCTTGTTAAAATAATTGTTATCTTTCTTTTTCCCTCTGGTTATGCAGGCTACCGGGCGGGCTATAGTCCATGGGATCACAATGAGTCGGACATGACTGACTGACTAAAACACACACTCACACATACAGGCTACCCTGTGTAATATGTGCGTAAAAGCTTGCTCTTCAGGGTTTACTGAATTCATTTTAAATGAGTTCTTTTCTGTTTTCACTCTATCCATCCATCCATCCATCCACTCATCACTCATCCTTCCACCCTAACCTGATCACCAGGGACAAACCAAAGTCAGGTTTACCAATTCGCTGCAATGAAAGAAGGGCTTCCTTGATAGCTCAGTTGGTAAAGAATCTACCTGCAATGCAGGAGACCACAGTTCAATTCCTGGGTCACAAAGATCCCCCGGAGAAGGGATAGGCTACGCACTCCAGTATTCTTTGGCTTCCCTGGTCACTCAGATGGTAAAGGATTCATGCAATGAAAGAGACCACATCCCAGAG